AGAGTCGAACGCTGGGGCGAGACTGACTCCGGTTCGCCACGCGGAGCTCTTATGTACAGTCGCCCAATTTTTTAATATGCGAGCGTCGACAGCTGGGACGGCCAGTGCCGTGCCGCCGAAAAATCCAGCGTCACTGGAGAGATTAAGCGCGTGCGCACAAAGCCCTTTGTGGTGGGAGCGTCGTCTGCTAGGCTATTCCGTTGATCGCATTCAGCCCCTGCTCCGTAGCAAAGGAGGGCGGGGCGTTTGCAACGTCGAAGTGCATCGCCAATACATTCCTCCTTTTGGAATGTATTCACAATCCTATTGACCTTAGCCTGTGCAACCCTGACTGTTGTTGCTATATCTCTTTGCGTCATGCCGCCCATCGACATTCGCACAACACGTTCCCATGTTTCTATGGGCACTCGAGGAGGCGTAATAATGTGCACGCGCCCGCTGGTCAAAGAAAAGTGTGACCACTCGGCTACATAGGCTAGATGACAACAGCAACAACACAGTTCATAAAAAAAAGAAACACCAAGCGGAAACTTTTTTTATACTCCGTTTCACTTTGTGTTGTACCGCAGCCGACGCTACGAGCCATCTTGGAGAGTCCATCGCGAAAAGTGTGTCACGTGGCCTTCCCGTTGGGCACAACTGCACTTGGAAGCACGATGTCACGTGGCAGGGTCACAGCGCTGGATGGGTTTTGATGTCTTGTAGCATTGGCTGCGGTATATATTTTAATGCATCGTTGCATCCAGCTTGTCGAGTCGTCGTATTTTTCTTTTTTTGGTGCTGACAAAGTAAACGAAAAAAAATTAAAAAAAAATTAAACGAGATAACGCGCGGTTTCCTTCACGCCTATGCAGTATCACGGTATCACGCAAGCAAGCGCTCTTCAGATCTTTGCTTAAAGGCGGTCAGCTATGCCAGCAGATAAGGAACAGGGGCTGCGTGCGGTCAACAGAATAGCCTAGCAGACGACACTCGCATGGGAGAGAGCTTTGTGCGCACGCGCCTAATCTCTCCGGTGACGCCGCATTTCTCTGCGGCACAGCACTGGCCGTCCCGGTGGTCGACGCTCGCGTGATATTATAAAAACAAATTGGGCGACTGTACATGCGTAAGCTTCTGGAATAATCAGCGTAGCATGTTCGACGCGTAGAACATTCGGACCTCGAGCACGGCCAACAGGATTCTCGAATTTACCAGAAAACTAGATTGCAGGGATAACAAAAGATGCGTCGCTCCCAGGGATCGAACCCTGGCTTTTCGCGTGGGAGGCAGGCACGATAACCGTTAGGCCACCCGCGCGGTGCCTCCTTGGACAGCTGAGCGCGCGGCAACCTTCCCTGACCTGCAGCCGCGAGCGGCGGCCATGAGAAACACGCGGCGTGACGATGATGGGCGTCTTGTAGAAAGATAGCAAGTTGTGCGAATACCTGCTCGATAAAACGTAACTTTTCTATTAATCTTGTCGCTATAATATAAATATAAATGCGTTAAAAATCTGGTATCATTGACAAAACTTTTATTATACGGAGTTTTAGTGACGCCATTTACACTAGGCCCACGAAACCGTCAGCTCTATCTGCTACCGCGAACAGCCGCCAGAAGCCGGAGGGGGAGAGGGACAGAGCCGTTTGGGTATGGCCGGACCCGGATGAGACTTTCCTCCTTTCACCATACAGTTCGCGCTGCGCCCGCCAGCATGTGGTCACGCGGTCGCGAGTGGATGAGTTCTCGCTGCTAACTGATGGCTCTAGAGAGAGATCTTCACCGGAACCCCGCACAACCCTCATGACGTCACAGCACACGTGACTCGGAAAGTGGTGAAGGAGTTGAGAGGTGCCGAAAACCTCAATCTTTGTCCATTTTTAAAATAAAATCTAGGACAGGCAGGCAAAAGCGGCGTTTTGTTCTTTACTTCAGAAAAGATTGAGACACCAACTCCCGAATTATTTAAGCAAAGCACTGAAGCTGTTACACAGCTCCTTTAAGTGAAAAGGAAAAAAGACTAAGCAACCAAGCATGAATCACTGAAAATAGAAATGCAACCTAAACACATGACTAACACGTTTGAAGTCTTACACGCTACGAAATGCTTGTTATTTTACAAAAGAGTCCGTACGCGCACAAAATAAACCGTACTTCCTAAGCGTGAAATACAAAATCGAACATATGCATATCTGTTTGACCTAAGAAAATATGACAATTACATGTCAACTTCGGTATTTCAAACTCAAAGCCGAAAGCAAAAGGCCCCAGAGGAATTTTCTAACGATCTCAGAGGAAGTAAGCGCCGTGCACGCACTTGTGTATACGGAGTTCGATGTAAATTTCTGTAAGTACCCTACTCCAAATTTTATTAATGTTTATGGTTGGATATTGAGGTAACTGCTAAAGATAAATAGAAAACCTTACATTGGCCAAAATTCTGCTCAGCAGAGTGCCTGTGTGGTCGCGTTCAAAGCGCTTATAGGACGAGATTGGTGTCTTAATAGCGGCCATACAAACAATATATTACAATTTATGTTGGTAGTTAGTTTCTGATAGACTACTATAATAACTAACTGTGAATAAAAAATAAAATAAATAAAAAGTTTTTTTTTTAACAGAATTGACTCCAAACTTGATAGTTTTTCGAAATGTTCGTTTTTCAGGCACATATAGAACACTGTATACTTATATTGCGAAATATTGAAATTATACTAAAAAAAAAGAGCTTAATTGGAGCTTTACGATGATTTAAGGATCATAAAATTATGTTGTTTAGGTCGCACAGCACAGCTTGCTGAACTTCGTCAAATATAGTCGCAGAGAGACGGTTTGACAAATAAAAAAAAATCATTAAGAATGTTATAACCTAGACGCTTAATTAGTATAAAAAAGCCTATGTCTAGAGTGTTCCCAAAAAGTTATATTGATGTAGAGCAAAAAGTAGGGAAAAGGGATGGAGGGAAATATGGCATCTTCGATAAGCTGGAAAAGCGTCAGTTTCTGCCTTGGCCGCTTCAAGGGTCCATGACTTGACAAAAAAATCTCCGACGAAATTGCCGTTTGCGTCTTATTTTATTATAGGAATTGCCCCAAAACATATATTTTTTACGTCGAAATTAAAAATTCGACCCTAAAATCCGTGCCTGAGTTGAGATGAAATCACCCATATACATAGCCGCGCATTTTTGCTACTTTTGGAGAAATGACTTACGTCTCTGGCATTAATAACAAAATTGCAATGATAGCTAAACAATTTTTATATATATTCGTAAGCTGGGTTTAAAGACGCACATGTTGATATACCTTGAAAGGATTTGCAACAAGTCATTTGTCGGTAAATAAAAATATTTTTAAAACATCTTTTTTGCCTTGATTTGTAAAGTCTTTAGCATAGAAATATATTATTATAATTTTTAATATTTGGTGTGCATGTTGTAAATTGTCTCTAAAATATATTGAAAAAAAAGGTTACCTACCAGCCTGCTTTAGTGTGCTATTGGCGGTTGTGCAAATTACCATAGTGAAATCTTGGCAATGTACACGCCTCGAGCTTCTCAATTTTATATCTCTGTAAAATCTTTAGCTACGGCAATCTTCCTTCCAAGAACGGGGTCCGAGATCCCTTCAAGTTGACAGGGCCCCAGACCCCGTCAAGCTGCCTTTGGCAGCTTTTTGTATGGGGCCCTTTTTTGGCTATAAGGCCAAAAACAAAGATTGATTGATTGATTGAAGAACACGGCTTTAACATATGTTTGTTACAGAAATGTCAAAATCATGACACAGAAAGTCACTGTACGATGTGACGTGGAAACACCCTACTTTAAATGAGAAAGCTTTATATTTTATTTTTTTGTAATATGAATTTGCTACTTGTGGCGGTATCTCAGTGGCACAAATACATTGCTTGGCAGTGAGGTTTCGTTTTTTTCAAAAGGCTTCGTTTTTTCAACTTTTTAGATATTTTTAAGGTGAGTAGTCGAAATTGCAAATGGCCTAAACAAAACAATACCTGCTCAAATTTGTTTAAACCGGCAGTTACAGAGTTACAGACACGTGACAAATATGTGAAAGGCACACACTTACTCCTCTAGAGACGGGTGGTGCACAGGCTTATGTGCATACAAATCGGTACCGCTGCTTATGCTTGCGGACGATGATGTGTCACTTTCGTTTCACATTTCCGTCTCATCGGTTTTATGAACCTTACATGTTGACTAGCATGTGTTTAATGCCAATATCATCTGTCATTTGCGATAATTAGAATTTACAGCCACTAACATTACGTCTCTCGTCCTTTCCAGCAATAGGGAGTTTTCGTAGATCGCGTTTCCCCCTCCACTAAGCCCTCCGCAACGAAGGAGCCGCTACTGCGCCGGAGTGCCGATGGCCTTGGCTGTAGAGTTCCGGCTAGCGTAGCTGGTTGCGGAGAGCGTTGCGGGACAGCGGAAACGATCTCCGAAAACTCCCTATTGTCTAGACATGCTGATATGGCACAAAAAAAGATATAAAGACTGGGGCTTCCGGTACCCTCAGATTGGGTTGCCGCGAACCTGTCGACGGTCGGGTTCGGCCAGGCACACCATTTTCAATCTTCAAATCCAAGTTCGAAAAAAAACGTTTGTGACAACCCTAATTGCTATCAAAAATAACCTGACATTCCGTTAAATGCAATGACGGAGCAATTGATAAAGTGTTTAATCAGTACAGCCTATGGAAATGGTTCCCCATTTCTAGATTCATCTACTAGTAGGCAGCTCTTACCCTACTACACAGAACCCATTCTTTTGCAGAGAGGGGAGTGCTAGATCTCTCCTCGCTTCGTAAGGCTCAATGCCATTTGTTGTGAACATTATGATGGCAAACAAACAGCTGCGCTCCGTTGCAGATACTCTCTCTCTCATGGCCTTGCTACGGCGTGATAAACTCCAACACTAGCAAGCAATAGCAAGCAAGGTTCCTACAGGGTGTACTAAGCTACAATTTTAAAAGCATTGCTACAAGAGGAGCTCTTTCACCTGGCGTCGGTGGCTCGAATCAGCACCTGGAGACAGGAGACTGTGATCTTGGATTGATTCCCGAACACGCTGAACTTGGCCCTCAGAAGACCACCCAGCTTGCAAAAGAGACTGTGTGGTAAAGAGCTTCATAAGGGCGTGGGTCTTAAAGAAGGAAATGCTGCAAACAAGTTCTCTAAAAGCTTTATTTTGAAGTTTTCTGAACGTTCAGATCGTTGAATTGGAACGGTGGCTAGAGCATTGAAACGGTGGCTAGTGTCGTATATTTATAATCCTGGGTTAGATACTTTCCAGGATATAACGTTTACAAACACCAGAGCCGCTTAAACGTTCATGAAAACATTTGTATCGACTTTCCGCATCTCCCACGAGACACCGTGGATGGAGGTCCGACACCTGAAGCTTATTTTGTGTCTCTAGCTGCGGTTAGTGCGTGTCTGCCATCTTGGCCAGTTTCCACAGACTGGCGTACGTGCCATCGGATTCAGTGTTGCGAGACCCACCTGGCGACCATCTCCTTTTCTCGTATGGTGGCCGTGCCCACGGTCGAGGTGGCCGTGGGTGACATGAGGAAAAAGGCACGGTGGGCCACGAAGCACTTTTCCATCAGCGGGAGAACCACCTGCAGCAAAGAAACCGCCAGGGAGTTTTATAAATAAATAAATGGTAAGCAAAAATAAGCGCCTCATAGGCGGGGACAGAGAACAAGACGACACGGCAAGAAAGAAGAACTAGGGGTCGCCGTCTTCTTGTTCTCTGTTTGTCCCTTTGAAGCCTTTATTCTTCTTCCGATGTACGAACTTTCCCAATCATCCATTTTGCTAAAGAAATGGTATCACATTTAAAAGAGGACAGATGGCGCTATAATTTGAAGGAGAAAAGGAGATGAGGGGGAGAAGAGGAAAAAGAAAGAAAGAAGAGAATATGAGAGGAGGAGAAGGACAGAAAGATGACGTGTGCAACAACATCCTCATTTGTGGATCTGGTCTTTGTTTGAGAGTGCATGAAATCGTAGACATCCTGCTGCGTAGCCATAGAGGGTATATTCGACAATAACATAGCAATTGTTTCTTTAGATATGACCCCACTTGTTTCACAGTGTGATTCGCAAAAAGAAACGTTCTTTAATTTTGGTGACGCTGATGGCGTTATATGTGCTAAATTGTCACGACCAGTCATTTAATAATTGTTTGTTTCTTTAACAATCTAATGCTAACGTGGATGTGTTGTGCATATTTTTTTCAAGCTTGGCAGTACGGTGTGTTCAGCAATTTACACCATAGCATATTAAAAAATCGGTAACACAAATCCACGAACAACTAGGGAAATAATGCACAAGAGCAGCTGTTCACAGAATTCAAGTATACAAAAAAGACATACGCATTCAAAGCATTTAGATCGTGAGTCAGGAATTAAGATGTCGGGTAAAGAAGCTAAAGAGAAGTTTTAGATTGTAGTGCTTACAAACTATCTTCGTGAGGCGCCCTGTAAATGTTGGCGATGTCCACCATCTAAAACATATCACGTTGGTGAAGAGATGAGTAACCAAGCGCATATATAAAAAAACAATGCTTTTTTTAGTTTGTGTTTGAACGATATGACGGTTTTAGCGACCTTTTTTTGGTTTCCCAGATAACCCTCCTATTGTAGATAAGAAATATATAAGCAAGGCGTCTTTAATCTCTTTCATAATATTTACACAAAAAATGCAGGGTCAGATGAAATACAAAATGAGTTTCTAAAAAGGTATGATGAGTGGGTATTTCATTTCATACCATAATTTCTTTTAGTCACCTCTAAATACGAACATGTTTCCCAGCTCATGCAAACGAGCAAAGACAATACCTGTTCATAAAAGTGGCCATGTTTCAGACGTCAGCAGCTCTCGACCAATTTCTCTTAGAAGTGCCTGATCTAAAATTTTCAACATGCTGTGTCTAAATATATGTTAGCGTATTTTTAAGAATATAGAATAGTACTACAATATCCGCATGCTTTTTGCAGAAGACTTTTCACAACAACTCAACTTGTCGAAACTGTGCAGGATCTGGCGCACACGACAAATTACCTCGGTTTTTCTGTCGCGCACCAGTCATCTAGCTTAGTTTGGATATTTATGTTCATCCATTGTCCCTCTTGTTCCCTTTTCCATGGTTCATTATTGTTATTTTTGTCCAGCTGGCTTGCACCTTTGAATTAATTGCATTATCATCATAACCTTAAAAATGCAGGCCGTTCACCCTTGTAGGTGTTGGACCGGTGGCAGCTGTTAAAACCCGTTTGCCCTACTGCCGTCTAGCTCCTGGTTGGCTCAGTTGGTAGAGCGCTCCAGTGGAAATGGGGAGGTCCTAATTTCGATACCAGGACCAGGCGGAATTTTTCAGTCGAGCACCAGTTATACCTAGTTGCGTTTGTCCTTTGTCCCTCTTGTTTTCCTTCTACGAGGTTTATTATCGTTTTTCTTGCCCAGCTCGCTTGCACCTTTGCATTAATTGCATTACCTGGCAAACTGACATAGTATTCCTGGACTTCGCGAAAGTGTTTGATAAGATATCGCATTCAAAATTATTACATCAAATCAATGCAAATTTTAGAAATCCAAATGTAACGAAGTGGTTTGCATTTTATCTTCCTTTTAGGGAGCAATACGTGGATATAGTAGAATAACGATCTAGCCCTTCACCAGTCATGTCTGGGCTGCCCCAAGGAAGTGCTTATGGATTTGCAGATAGCGGCGTTGTATGAAGTAAACTAAACACCTCAGAATATTGGATAGGGTGAAACAGTAACCTACGAAACTTTAACTGGTGTGAAACGTGGCAGATTGTATTCAGCCTAAGAAAATCAGTGTTTATGACAGAACTAGAAAGAAACCTGTTTTAAATTAGAAATACAGCCAAAAACCAGACTTGTGCTCGTCACTTGAAAAATTTAATGGATTACAATTACAAATTATCGAGCCTCAAATGTAATGGAATACCGTTACAAATTACTTTCGCTGAAAAGTAATGGGTCACTTTACTCGTTACGTTACAACTTACTTTCACGTTACTTTTTTTTGTAAACTTATCCAGAAAACAATAAAAACATTTTTCATTATTTTTTTTCAAAAAATGTTCTCCAACACTTATCATTTCTTCTGCTCCCGTATTATGGTAGCTCTTGAAAAAATAAAGTATTGTATATAAAAAAAAGAGTGTAGGTGCATTCCGTTCACCTGCAAGCTGACGATGCATCGAAAGCTGCAACCACACCCACCACCCCGCTAGCTTACAGCGACCGGAAATGATCCCTGGAATTGTGCAGACGAAGCCAGCGGTGCGCATGCTCAGTAGCAGCGTCTACCTCAGCTATGAGATTCCGAGCTAAAGAAGCCATCTACGGAAGCTTTCTTTTGACTCGGATGTTTCGCCTGTTATTCACAAGAAAAGAAAAACTTATATTTAACTTTACAATGTATAGCCAATGCAGCATGCAGATGTCCCAGCTTAACTTAATGTGTTTCCGTAGATTAGAGTTTGTTGTTCTTGCTGATGACAATGTGTGTGTTTTTTGGCAAGCAAAGTATGCACTGAAACTCAAGGTTTCCGTTTTCCTTAATGCCCAGAATTTTGAACATCTCATAAAGAGGAGGCCACTGAAAAGACGGACAATCCATTACCGAAAACTCAACCCAAGAGAAAAAGTGCCGGTTATGGGTTATCGATCGTTCATCGGTTTTCACTTTCATACCGATATTCGTGGAGCCAGGGGAGGGGAGGGCATAGAGAGTGAGAGAAGCGGTGGCCATCGGTCTCACAAAACAATAGAGGATCACACCACTTTTACGCGTTCTCTTTCTCTCTCTGTCAGCACTCCTTAGATGACCTAACCCCGACCCCCTTTCCCTTTATGTTGGCAGTTGACTGTAAAGTGAGGAGTGGACTCGACCACCATGCCCAGGCAAAAAACCAAAAGAGGTATCCTTTGTACCCTCGAAGACGATACTCCTAGCCTTGCGTCGGGCGCTTTTCAGCTGTGCCTCAAGAGCGTGCTAGAATACAGTAGCGCACATCAAAGACGAAGAGAATTCGATATCCTCGCGCGAGGCTACATCGTCTGATACGCGAGTTGTGAACCTGCGAATCGAGGGGATACGGACCCGCGTTTGATGTCTGTGTCACACACACACACACACTGGGAATGTGTGCGTCAAAGCTAACACAGCACTGTAAAGCCTCAGTCGAAACCTGACTAGTGCAGCGCCTGAAATAAAGATTTTTTCATACGACACCATGATAAGAACCATTCTTGAGAATGCAAAAACCAGGTGGGACCCGCATACCGGGACAAATTGCTTTAAACTGGAAAAGCTTCAACGACTAGACTCCAGATTTATCTTTTACATAAATTGCCGTGCTTATTCTTATTCTTTCACACAACTATGTGAACTCGCAAAACTCCCAACTTAAGAATCTAAAACAAAATAGAAAGCCATGTTTTTTTTTCAGATAATTCTTAATCACCCAAGATCAATAAATTACACTACTTCCAAATTCGCCCTAATAAATCATGAAGGCATCGCCAAAGCATGCACATTCCATGTCGGTCTGTAGGAAGCTATTTCTTCGCATTCCGTTTATTTCCTAGAGCCATAAACGAATGGAATTTAATACCGAATGCCACCATTTCATCAGTGTCACTAAGTAAATTTATTGAAAGTTTTGAAAATATTTTATGTGCCACTCATTAAATTCGGCATAATTAACTGCACTTAGTAGGGTATTAATTACTGCTGGCAATGTGTTCTTTTTGTTTCTCGCTGATAAGTCAGGTGCATCTTATAAGCGGGCTATTATTTGTTTATACGAGCAACTTGTTTTTTTTTATCAGCGCCTTTCATGTGCTTCATTATGTATTTTTATCGACCCTGTAAGAGCCAAAAGAGGGCTGACAGTATTAGTACATGAAATGAAGTGAATGAAAAAAGGAGATGCTTATTCATCTCGTCTGTTCGGTGACTTAAAAAACGAACAATTGCATGCGCGGTTGTTCGTTTTTTATTATTTTTCAAAGTTTCGGTATAAATTATGGATATCATACCCCAGCTTGCCTGCGTTTTTCTTTAGTTTTTCATGTTGTTCACTTAAGGGTGATCGGTGACCGTGTGTGTTAACGCAGTGCAGCACGAAGCATCTAAAGCGAGTGCTCGTGCAGCAGAAACCAGGTATCCTGAGCTCAATTCCTCTACCAAGCCCCTTTCAATCTGGATGAGCATAGTACCGGAGAAAAGTCGTGTTTCAGTACTGCACGATGCACATTAAAACCACAGTCTTAGGGGTGGTGTAGCACTGGCCAAATTTCTCATCTACAGCGGAGGTAGCAAACACCCAGCTGGGTTCAATAACTTCCCTCAGCCAAGAGGAAGACTAGAAATGTTAACCTTGCTGAAGAACTTGACGTCCCTGCTGGAGGCCTTGAAGCTGTTCCTGCGGCTGAAGGGGATGCTGGGGCGAAGCACCTTCAGGTTGATGGCGGCCACGTCCAGGTACTGCAGCAGCTTCTCCAGAAGCAGGCTGGCGAAGCGCCGCTCCAGGCCCTGCGCCGCGCCTACCGCGGGCGACATGGGCTCCTCGCTGGGGGCACCGCCACGCTCGCGCCGCCGGGTCATCTTGCTGAAAACGTCGGTATGCAAACATGAACAGCGAAGGTCACCTGGATCATGGGATATAGAAAGGTTCCCTGTTTTCGGCGTATAAAGACAAATCCCGAAAAATAACACCGAAACCAATTAAATCAAAATCGGGGAAAAAATTCCGAATAGGAGTTGTATTTCAATAAAAAGAGCCCAAGCTTCAGGGAAAGAAATTTTTATCTTTCTTTTCTGTTTACCCAGAATAACACTCCTCGTGAACTGTATGCTAGGCTGCTGTTTTATCCGGGAACCACACCCCTTACTCTTTTTCTACTCTCGATTCCTTAAGTATTCCGGTCCTACGAGTATTTCCTGGAGGCTGGGGAACCCAATGTTCCTGTCCTGTCTTCTTCAACATAAGCCCTCATGGACACTGATTTTGTATTCGAAACCCTAACAGTCATCAAAAAGACACCGAATCCGGGGAAAAAAATTTAAGCTCCAAAACGCAAAACCATACAATAAATTTAGGAGAAATTGTTTTCTAGGTAAGCTTTTATGCAGACAATCAATCGAAGTTTCAAGTGAAATTTATTTGGGTTTTCACGGGCCTAGCCAGTGGGAAAGTAGAGACAAAGGGCATTTCTGCCTGAATTAATGAGCCAGGTACAATAGCCCCACGGCGCATGCTTAGTCTTCAAGATATTTCCTATAATTCATATAAATTAATCTCAGCCAGCACAGTTCTTTAAGAGTATCTGTTTATAACTAAATGTATTATATATTAAACCATGGATAACGTTGAGAGACAGATTGTGCGGCGTGTTTTGAACTCCTCTCATCACCGGGGCGACATACTTTTTTTTTCTGCAATGCAGGTATATGGAGGTACCTATGCATGCTGTTTTAGAAAACTTCTGGAAAACTTCTACACGTGTCGAACCGACACAGCCTTCTTCACAGTCCACTGAACAAGTAAAGACATTTTAGCGTTGCGCCAAATAAGTAAGGCCGATTAGCTATCTTTTAAAATATTGATCTTGGCGCGAACCCTTTCATACAGAGATGGAAGATCATGTTGAGAGATGGAGAGGGTTGGCAGTGTTCGTATGAAAACGAGGGGAATCGTACTTCTTTGATCCTCTAGGTGCTCGACGAGTCCTCGCAGTTCAAGATCATCTCTTCGGAGTGCTGCCGTGTCACTGACATCTACTGCGCCGAGGAAACAATCGTCATCGTCGTCTTCAGTGCAGGCAGGTCTGGCCTCGACGGAGATCCTTGACGGACAGTCGGCGCCACTGTGCTTTCGGCCGGACTTGTACACCACGGTCATGTCAAGCTCCTGCAGTCACAGACTCCATCGGGCGAGGCGTTCCGAGAGGTCCTTAAGATTCGCAAGCTCGCAGAGTGAGTGGTGGTCCTTAACCACTCGGAACGGACTTTCGTACAAGTATGGGCGAAGCTTGGTGAAGGCCCAGACGACAGTGAGGCATTCTTTTTCCGTAGTAGAGTAATTACCTCGGCCTTGGACAGTGTTCATCTTGCATAGGCGATTACCCGAACTGTCCCCTCCTGTATTTGGACCAGCGTCGCGCCAAGCCCCGTGTTACTCGCATCCGTGTGAATTTCTGTTCATGCATTCAGGTAGAAATGGCCAAGAAGAGGACGTGTTTGAAGTCTTCATTTAAGCTCGTCGAACACCCGCTGGTGGTCTTCCGTTCATTGGAACTTTACGGCGTGTCTTGCAAAGTATGTCAGTGCCATAGAAAGCTTCACAAAGTCTCTAACGAAACGCCTGTAGTAGGTACAGAGGCCTAGGAACTTTCTTACGGCCGTCTTTTTCGACGGCAGAAAAAAATGCGGCTACGGCGTGCATTTTCTCGAGGTCAGGACGAACACCCTCGCTCCTTACTATGTGGCCTAGCCTTGACCTCACCATATGCGAACCGACATTCCGTTGGCTTGAGAATTAGCCCAGCAGCCTTGATAGCTTGAAGTGCGGCACGGTGTCGTCGTAAGTGCTCGTTGAAGTTGCTGTCGAACGCCACAAGTCCGTTGAGGTAGACGAAGAGGCTCTGCCATTTGAAGCTGGCTAGCACGGTATCCATGGCACGCTGGAATGTCGCCCGCGCTGTGCATAGTCCGAAGGGCATCACTTTAATATCGTACAGTTCGCCGAGCGTGACAAAGGCAGTTTCCTCCCGAGCCTTTTTGTCAACTTCGATCTGCCAGTAGGCACTCTTCAAGTCCATCGACGAAAAGTATAGGGAGTGGCGCAGACGGTCCAGATTGTCGTCGATGCGGGGGAGCGGGTAGGCGTCTTTCTTTGTCACAGCATTGAGTCGACGATAGTCCAAACAGGATTACAAGAATCCGTCCTTCTTCTTTAGGAGCACAACAGGTGAAGCCCTACAAGAATCCGTCCTTCTTCTTTAGGAGCACAACAGGTGAAGCCCATGGACTGCTTGACGGCTCTACGATGTCATCCTCAAGCCTTTCTTGAACCTATTCTTGGATGACTTTCTTCTATTTCAAAGGGACACGGTACGGCGACTGGCGTACTGGGTGCACGTCGCCGTCAGTGACGATGCGATGCTTCGCCACCGGTGATCGGCGAACTTTCGTGGATGTGGCAAAACAGTCACTAAACCAGTTGCCGGCGCTTTGGAACTTGGAGTTCGGGGTCAATGTCAAGCTGCGGCAGCGACGTACTCTAGTGCTCCGATTACGAGGTTTCCTCGGAGATTGCGGTGACCACGGCTGGCGTTTGATGCTCCTCGGCGAGGCCCACGGTGGTACCCTTCATTAGGTGGTGCGGCTCTTCTCAAAAGTTCGTCACGAGAACACTTGTACGTCCTTCTTGGAGATCCGCTACGCCTTGTGCAACGCTAAGTCCTTTTTCGAGGAGACGTTGGACGTTGCCGTTCAGAAGACCTTTACCGCACATGACTGCGCTTGTTATGATACGTACGATAACACTTGACTGTGGCGGCAGGTACACATATTTCGCAATAACTCGCATCGCGATTTGCGTCGTGTTGGGCTCTACCGGCGGCAGAACAGGCTTTCACAGCGTCAGATTGTTTGCCTCGAGGTCGATGATGGCGTCATAGTCGCGAAGAAAGTCCGTTCCGAATAGAGCGTCCCTCGCATAGTCTTGCAAAAACGACGAACTTCACATTGCACGTCTCAACATGGATATCAACGCAAGCAGTACATTTCCCGGCTGATGAGGTGTCCTCCGGCGGTTCATAGTGGACGTCCATCCCACGCCGTCGACACTTTGTGAAGATGTCGAGAAAGCTTCCCACTAACAACGGAATAGTCTGCTCCGGTGTCCACCAGTGCCGACACGTCGTGGCCTTCGGTAACAATGTTGAAATTGTTTGACACCGTTGCACTGCTGTCATTTTCTAGCGTGCCGGTTTCAAAGTGGGAGCCCCGCGACGTTCTTGAAGGTTCTTTTTTTTTTGTGCACTTTTGGCAACTTCATCCCCAGGGGTTGCAGCGCTTAGTTTTCCCGGCGAGCAGCATGGGGCGACAGGCTTTCACGGCGGGATCTACGCATAGGTGATGCTGGTCAATGGGGTGATGGTGAACGAGATCCTTGGAGTGAAGCGGGACCTGAAGATGGCTAGTGACGAAGGTATTCAATTTTTTGTAAACGCTCACCGTATCTCGGGCGTGGATAGTCCGGCGCGAACCATCGCACGCCCATCTGGCGGTAGGGGCACTGCCGATAAATGTGGTCAGTTTCTCCGCAGTGGTAGCACACCGGCCATCTGTCAGCTATTCACCACAAGTCTTTTCCTGGGTGCCGAAAGCTCCCGGCAGACGTACGGAAAGCTTCCCTTTTGGAGTTGGCGAAACTGCGGAGGTGCATCTCGTCGTTGGGCTCTTGCGGCGTATGTGACCGCCGGCTCTTCAGATGGTGCCGCGATGACGGGAGCCTCTGGTGGGATGGCCCTCTGAACTTCCTCTCTCACCACTTCGGCAAGGGAGAGCGCGGCCGGGCGTGCGGCACCGGGCAGTAGCTTCTTCCGTTCTTCCTGGGGCCCTAAGCTGGACACTTGGCGAAAATGTCGGCGAGAAATTTGGCGGCCTCGATTGGCCAACGCCACACCTGACCTTGGCGCCAGCCAATCATAGCCGCCGGATTTCTCGCCGACTTTTTCGCCAAGTGTCCATATTAGGGTCCCTGGACGACGTCGGATGATACAGAGGATGCCAGGGAGGTAGTACCAAAGTCGGATCCGGATGTCGCCAGAGTGGGTATGCCAGGGTGTCGCGGTAGTGCCTGGCACCCGTGCTAGTAGGGCACGTTCCATATTTGTCGCCTCCGTGACAAGCCCGTCGACCGTTCTCGGGAAATTGCGGATAAGACCGCCGAATATTTCGCTCTCCACACCCCTCATCAGGTAGTACAGCATCTTATCCTCGGTAGCCTGAGGGTCGGCGCGGGCGCTCAAGCGGAGAGCATCCTCGACAAAGCTGGTGACGCTTTTATTTTGGCCTTGGATCCTTGTTAGAAGGTCGTCTTCAGCCATCTCGTGTCGGTGTTGTCTGAAAAATGTCCTCTTGAGTTCTTGCTTACATACTTGCCACGAAGTTAAATAAGCCCCGTGGTACTCCAGTCAGTGCCTCGCAGTTCCGTCCAGCGAGAAGTAGATGTTCTTCAAGCACTGCTCAGATGCCCACCCGTTATGGCGGGCCACACGTTTATAGTGTTGCAGCCAATCCTCGATTTCCTCATGGACATATCTCCGTGGAAAGACGTCGGAGTCCGGGATATGATGGCGCCGGTGGCCGGTATCTGCGACGACTGGTTGACCATCGTCGGCCTCATTGGCTGACATTTAGTGGCAAAGGTTCAAATTCTGGGGGAAACGTTAGGTGCGGCGACTTGGTCGGGTCTCGGTCCTCTCTTTGTTGGGTCTTCGTGAGCTTGGGGACGGACTTGTACTGCGGCCATCGGAAGGGTACGTTGCACAAACATGCGTTACCCAGCACCTCTACCAAAATGTCACGAATGACAAATGACGAGGCGGCGAAATAACTGGACAAACTAAAATTTAATGTGGCGAACCTGTGCCGAAAATAAATAAGAATGAATGGCGAATAACAGGCGTCGCAGGCGTCGATGACGGTGTAACGGCAGGATCGAGCGCAGGGGATAAAGTGAGAGTGTGCAGCGCGGGGCGGCTTCTTTCAAAACCTTTCAGAATGTCTAGAGAATTCTACCGAAAAGATTCGGGAATCGCACTTCCTAAGTATAAACAAACTATATCATTCTCTAATCTTCTAGAACATTCCCCGCTTACATGAAGAAATATAAAACGACGTGCATTGGTAGGCGTCGAACCCCGGCCATCTGCATAGATGCCAAGCGCGCGGCCGACCTGGCAAATTAAGCACGCAGCAATATAAGAATCAGTTTAGTACATCTCATTACAATGAGAACCACATGAAAGCGTGAACGAGCTACGATGGCCAGATCAACCAAAATGGGCGACGACTTCTTTAAACTCAGACCATATCAGCAATTAACCGATGAACTTCACCATTGGAAGCCCAGCATAGCCGGTGAACTCACTGTCGGCGAGTGATATCGAAAGAAGAAACTGTTTAACACGTTAAACAATTCCGTCGTTCCTTTCTCTTTCACAAAAGAAAACTTTTCGGATGTTCACTTTCGAGGCGCATGTGCGGTGTGTTAATCTGTGAAACACATGATGTGCGCTAAACTATCATGAGGTGCCACAGAAAGTATGAATTCCATATTACTGTAAATAAAATGTGTACAAATTATTGCTCGAAGTAATTCCAAAATAGTTAACAAGTAAATTTAACATGTTTAAAAGTGTTTGTAATGCAATAAAATTTAATTATAATGATAATTCAAAAAATGCAACGGTGCAAGGGAGCTGGACAAGCATAATGATGATAATCCCTGGAGGAGGGGAAGAAGAGGGACAAAAGAAAAACACAAATCTCCAAACATAGCTATGTGACTGGTGAGCGACTGAAAAAATCCTCCTTGTTTTGGTATTGAACCAGGGACCTCCCCATTAACAGTGGAACGCTTTACCAACTGAGCTAACCAGGGATTAAACGTCAGTAGAGCAAACGGGTTTTATCAGCCGCCACCAGTCTAACACCAACAAGGGTTTCAAGGGTGAACGGCCTAAATTTGAAGGTTATAATAATATGCTAACCATGCAACAGCGGAAGCGAGCTGGACAAGAATCCCTGGAGGGGGGACAAGAGGCAGAAAGGTCAAATATAAGTTACGTTCGCGTATTTGCGAAGTAATTAGTAATATAATTCCATTACTTCTGAAAACTTATTGCGCCATCTCTAGAAATAACACTGAACCACCAGTTAGCCGGCTTAGTATACGGCGAGAAAGTTGGTCAGCTTCTGTGCAGAGGGACAACAGCAAGGCCATGGTGCCGAGCTGCCACTCGAAGTTGCGGCGGTTACACAAACACGGAATGCTCATACAAATTGCGCCTATTTTGCGGCTTTCGGAAAATCACAGATTGTTTGCGACTTCTGCAATGGAGGAAAGCTAGAGGAAATACCTCTAATGGTATGTCGTTTTTGTCAACCGACAGCTACTAGAGGTGCAACAACAATGAACAAAGAACTTAAGGACGAATGTTGTTTGGTAACCCACCGAGGAGAACACAGTCTGTTGGGGCGGTGCTTGGTTGCTCACGTTACTAATCCTTCTCGCCTTTTTTTATCCCCTCTTTCGTGCGGAAAGACGCGTTTCGGTCGACTTGCTCGCCTATAAATATAGTTCTGCGTTTCTGGAGTATATTTTATTTTGTTTTCGGTGATATCTTTTTAAAATATTTCCCCTCATATTCGCAGTTTTTCAGTGCCAATTTTCGGTGTCGTACAAATATGCGTGGCCCAAACATTGCGGAAACTTTCCGGTAGTGATAAAAAATTAAGTAAAATAAGAAAAGCACTTTAGAAAGTTTACTGACGGGTTGATTCCAGGTCAACACAAAATGAAGCTATATAGAAATTGTTATTTTCATGGAGCTTGCGTATTTCGTATTCAGTGACAGCTTCAATCAAGGGATTTTCGGCTTTCCCCGAGTTTGATAAAGCCGATTCGGGGACTATTTTTAGGGGATAATTAGTCGATAATGAAAACACGGAATCCTTAGTATAATACAGAATCATATCGAGTCACCACGGTGCAATCGCTACAACCTTACAATCTGAAATAAGAACGTTTGCTGGCAACAAGAAAGTTTGAAAGGACACCAATCCTAGTGACATCCACCGTTCTATGTTACGCCCGTACCTGCTCCGACGTGGTCGTTTGACAAGCCGTACCTGGAGAGGCGGTATCCCTCGTACTGAAGGAACTTGAGGAACTCCTGAGCCCTGTCGCGGTTCTTGTACTTCTCACGATCCGTCAGCAGGTCATACGGCACAAGCTGTGGGTGGATACCACCCCCTGCACAACAAAGGCAGCTAAACGTACAGTTTCTTGACCATTAAGGTCGTCTGGTTTTTGTAAAACTAAACTTCAACTAGGAACTGGAAATGCTTTACACTTTAATGCTACATATAAAAATCTGAAAAATATTGACCAGAATATTGAGCAAAAAGGCGAAAACGGTAGTTAGAAAAGCTTGCCTTTCGTGTCGCCTTAAATATGGCATTGCAACACAAAGGCAGCATGGAAACCAAGGGACAAGTAGAAAGCGATAGGACAAGCGCTTCTCCCGTCCAGACATGTCCTTTGTCCTTCGCGCTTACTGATTTTGTGATGTTTAAACAACAAGGTCACCAACCTATATTTGACATTACAAGCTTGGCTAACTAACTAAAAGCTACAAAATCAGCAAAATGCAATAATGAATCACATACCAACGGCCTCCAACTCCTCTTTCATTTTTTTCGCCCAGATGTCATGGGTATTCTCTCCAAGACGTTCCGACATGGTCTAGGAACAAAGGAGTCACTCATTATACGACTGACTTGTAAATTCAAGAGTATCTCTGCTGTCATATAAATTAAAATTGCATTGCATAGGAAAATCATTAATTGTCTAGAGTTGGGCGGGCTGCAGTGCTGTCTTTCACGATGATCATAAATACTGCAAATTGGAAACTACAGCGCTTTATTCAAAATGCATTACTTAGTTCAAATGTCTGCGTAGAGGCTGAAGCATCTAAATATAGGAATAGGTGAATAAGCACTAAATCATTATTGTAATTAAAACTTTTCTAATACGAAAGTGTAAGCTGATTTGGAGATAGCTTGGGTGCATATAATAATAATAATAATAAATATTTATTTTCAAGTGCCCAAAAACAACCAACAGGTCTTTTCTTTGGTACACATAATAAATGAGGAATTAAAATAACAGAGACATGGCAAAAATACACAAACGTTACAAATTGGCGACAAGCGCTTTCAATTTCATCGCGAACACCCGAGAGTCGCTAAATATATCCACTTCAGCATTGTTGATGCGGTTAAAAAGCAGTTGGCAGCGTGATAAAGGCGAGAGATCACAGACAGTATTAATGTAAAAAGTACTATGATTTCTAGTGGGTCCGGAGGGAACATGTAAATTAACATCACTTAAAAGCGAGCCACAATCAGATACACCGTTTACTAACTTATGAAAAAAGACTAAGTCACGTTCCGCTCTTCTATCGGACAAGTTTGTTAACGAAACTTTTTTAAGAAGAAATTCATAATCAAAATAGAAGCGACGATGAGAGTATCGATCATACACGATGCGTATTAACCTCTTCTGTACATTTTCAATGTTCAATGCCTGAGTTTTATTTAACGCATTCCAAGCTACTGAAGCAAATTCAAGTCTAGACCTGACTAGGGTACAAAATAACCGAACCAAGGAAGCCGGGTTATTAAAGTGCTTCGTAATACGAGATATAACACCAAGCATTCTTGTTGCACTGCCAACGACAAATGACACATGGGCAGTAAAGGTTAGAACATTATCAAGGTATACGCCAAGGTCTTTTATGACAGAAAGACGTTTGATAGGCATCCCCTCTAAAACATAATCGCAATCTATTATGGTGTGACGCCTTGAGAAAGATACGACTTTTGTTTACAATGGATTCAGAGATAAGTTATTCGCTGTACACCAAATAGCAATCTGTGAAACATCATGCTGTAGAGCGTATATATATATCAATGTTACAAATATGACCAATGTTCATATTACTAGTGTCTTATTTCCTTGACAATGAGAATCAAAAAAGTTACTTACCATCATGTCTTTGTTCAACGTCAGGGTGGACATATCCACGGGGGTTGGCATGTAGGCCATCGGAGATGGCGCTTGCTGAAATCAACGCACAAAATCGGGTCTACACGCGCTGATTTTTTGTGAATTAAATTATATTACAAAGTTAACTGAGAACAAGTGGGTAAAATACTTTCTTAATACAAGTTTTAAAGGCAACAAATAAAAAAAAGAGGAAATAATTTTCAGAAATATCGCGGTTTGGTAGCAGGTCATAACTAGCTCAATTCAACAGCTCAATTTTCTGCTGCAAAATATGGGATGCAAAGAAAGGTTAATGAAGCACCTGTCAAAACGAAAGTGTTAACGATTAAAAAATGATGGTAATGTAAAACAGCGTTACAATGAGTAGCGGAAGTTTAGAAATGATGTTTGGTACCCAAGTGACGAATGGAAGGCAGCTTCAATATTGTTTTCTTGAAATACATACTAAACAGATCACTTAATAGGGTACAGTAACACGCGATTGTAGAAAGCTTATTTTTATGCTACACAGAGGAATGCAATGTAGTTTCATATACGCTGAACACCAAATTCCTTTCTTGAAAAAACTTTCTTAATCGCATATTCAAAATTTTTTACGTATGTGCTGTAGAAATAAGTATAAGATTCTCGATGAAAACCGCAAGAAGGCAATAAACTTTTATGTGAACACTGCACAGACGTTCAAATTAACTCTTGTAAAGTTTTTAGTTATTTGTTCATAATTAAGCTTAAGGTATACACATATCTTAAATATTTATACAATATATCAGCAGATTAAATATAAATTATTTCAGCAAACGCTGAAACAAGCGGAAAAGAGTGAGCTTATTTTCGTAGGAATAAGCATGCTTAAAGATAAAAGAATAAAATAGAATTTCCTTTTGTCGAACTTGTTTTCGTTGGTTGGGAAGACGGAGAGTGGGCAAGCACTCACGGCAGCGATGGGAGCAGCGGAGCGCTGCGAGGAGTCCGTCAGCTCCAGCTTCCAGCCGAAAGCCAGCAGCGCCTTGAGCAGCTCTCGGATGGGGTCCCGGTACCGCTCTTTTTCCTGGAGGCCGAGGAAGCAAGTCACAAAGCACAGTGTCCAGCACAGCTACACCCTTGACTTTCTTCTTCCATCTGCGTGTTTTCTTCGATGCAACTTTGAAACGAGACTACAAGCTTTAAAGTCTAAACAATATGTTCATACGCAGGTCTATCGACTTCCAACGCAAACTGTATATCTTTTGTAATTATTTCCAAATTTATTATACGACGCACTTCCAGGCAGCGAAGTTCATACACAATAAATTGCTGCATTTGTTGGTTTTCTATGAATAGCAATAGAATTCGTCTAAGACCACCTCAAAGACGACGTCTTCGAAAACGACATCAAAGAGGACGTCTAGGACCACTTCTAGGACGACCTCTAGGGCGATCTCAAAAACGACCTCTAGGATGAGCTCGAGGACGACGTCTAGGACGATGTCAAGGACGGCGTCTACAATGACCTCTAGGGCGATTTTAAGGGAGATCTCAAGGAGAACGTCGAGGATGACATCCTAAGGAACGACGTAAAAGACGACGTCTAGGACGACCTCTAGGACCACGTCTTAGGCGATTTCAAGGACGACCTCAAGGATGACGTCAAGGACGACGTCAAGGAAGACGTCAAGGACGACGTCTAGGACGACCTCAAGGACGACTTTAGGACGACATCAATATCTTCCGGTCCTTCGAAAAGGGTGCGAGTGTGAAAAAGTGTGAGAATTTGAGCTGAAATGGTCTACTGTGCATACCTAGTTCGTGTTAGGAGGCCACAAAGTCCCCAAAAATTGGGGGGGGGGGGGGGGGGGGTTGCTAACGAATGCTATCGCACTAAAATCGCCATAAACTGGTCTGGACTTGAGCGGACACAACGACTGCATGCTGACTGTTGCTCCTAGTGCATTGATAAAACGCCTTTACGAACTGCAAATGGAAAACAATAGAAGGAATAGACACAAAAGGGACCAACAGACAAACTGTTCTCCATTTAACAAGAGCTCGAAAAATACTGTATTTTTTTAGTTTATTGAGACAACATATAAGCAATGAAAACAACATTTTTGTATACCTCTAAAACATTGGGTTTCGTTTTCTCAATAATGAGGAAAAAAATATTTTTTGACTTACGAAATGATTACAAAGCATGCCAAAAACTTTCGCTTTGACAACCACACAATGGTTACCTGATACACATGCAGCAAGAAGGGGAAAACAAAACTTGCATGAAAATATATTTAAATATGGCTTCTCCAAACTCACCCAGATAAGTAAAATGAGAAAAATAAATATTGGATTGGGCATGACAAGCCGCATATTTCAGGACTCGTGACATTACCAGCTGAACATAAAAATAAAAACAGATTATTGTACATCCACACCGCTGGATGTATAATTAATACAGCTTCAACCCGTAACGCATATCTCAGGTTCACACGTAAGTGTCGACCAGTTCCATGCATCCCAGCACATATATTGGAAATGCATAATTAGTTTTGCATTTTAGGAACCAAATCATTATTGGTAGAGGGACCGAGCAATAATGCCTAGTCCGACTTAGGTATGCTTTCCATGATAGTTGCTACAGACAACAGTTCCCTTCATCCGTCCATACACCGACTGCTCACCTTTGGCTGTTTATTACTTAGTTCTCATCTGCTTACCCCACATTGCAAAAATGCAACTTGTAAACTCTGAACCCAGAAACATTTTGGGTTGCTCTATGTTTGTCTTATAAGATTCAAGGTAACCTACATAGTCAGTAAGAAGGTTGTAGGGCTTCAGTCTTGGGTGTGTTTTCACGTCGTCGTTCCAGCGTTCTCCGTACTGCCAGCCACGTTCCATCTGCGGGCAAATCATTAAAAATATACAGTAGATGATGTAAAACTTCAGTGATATATATATTTCTGGGGTATGGCTGAGTTGCTTTCACATAATCCATACTTTTAGATATTCAAAACGGAACCTCGAAGAAATTTAATTTTAACAATATAAAGCAGGTAATGTGAGGAACAAAACATTAAGACTGTCAAAAAACCACTGCATGTTTGTTGCACATTTTGGGTGACTCAGTGTCATTATGTAAGTTTGCAATAAAAATCGCAATTTTCGTGGACTACAGCTGTCATCGTGCGTATTGAGCGGCAAACTTAGAACCATCCAAATAATAAACATTGAATACAACCTGTTGTTTTATTTGCGGGGTGTAGGAACTCTACACTACAATAGCGCGTCTTGCATAGAACTCCAAAGGACCAGGCACGATAAGTGCCAGGAAACCAAAGATGCATTTTGCAACGTTTCCATTACGCAAAAAATATAATTTTTAAGCGTTCCACTTCAAAATTCTACTTTAGGTAAACTGTAGGCCCAACATTCTAGCTGCATATTTTATAATCATGCATATGAGCCATAAGAAAAAGTTTCCTCAGTGAATAATGTGTGACACAACATTCAGAATTAGTTAACTGCATCACAACGTTGTAGATTGAAGAGTGTTGAAAAAAGTCTAACGCAACTTATACGAATAAGCATTAACTAGCCGGTGGAAGAAGCATAGTAATGATTCTTCAGAAATGACACAGAAAACAGGGAATATTTCTTGTGTGAATAAATGTTTCTGAATTAAATAGCTCAAGAAACACAGATTTTAGGAATGACAAGATGAAGCTTGTCATAAGAGCGTTTGTCAGTTGTACAGTAACCTACTCAAACTTCGGGAAGGATATACTCATATATACAAATATATAAATAGTTTAAATAAGAGCACAACTGCACAGACGCTGCCTTTAAACAGTCATACTCAATGAAATAGCCGAGGAATTTCTCACGTTCTGAGCATGTGGCCAAAATCGGATTGTTTTGGGCGACACACTTGCTTCAGGCTTACATAGTACTAAATAACATGAAAGCCTCGAACCTAAATAACATTAAAGCACTAACAAATATGCCAACGAGGCAAATAAGATGAGCGAAAACTCACCTTACGAGTAGCCCACGCGTCGTGGAAGTGTTCCGAAAACCTCTGCACAATATTGTGCAAGTCCTGGCTCAGCTGAATCCTACTCGGCGAAGAGCAAACAAATATCAGTATGTAGATTTTTTTCAAAGGGAATTCAAAAGCGCGTTGGTTTAAGGAAAAGTGACTGGGAAACAATAAAACACACATTTGGGACGAAATAGCAATCTTTTGGACAAATTACCAATTTAAATATTGGTAGTACGTCCCAAGTATGTTTTATTCTTTCAGCGTAAGTTTTAGTTGAAGTTTATTTTACCAAGATATTAAGCTTTATTTCTTAATTTCTCTTTATTCTGTAACAGTTTGCGCTTTACTCGGTAGCGATCAATCGCCAACGAAGCAATTAGTAATTCATTTGCTCGAGAGAAAATGTTAGGCAGAGCAAAAGAAGGGCCATTACGAATTCATAAAAATCTGGGCGATACTAATCGCTTAGCTAACACAGCTTTGGCACCCTTGCATCTATAAAAGTCACATGAATACACTCTTCATTGATAAAAATTTAGCCGAATGGCTGTGAAGTTCTAAAATATCCCAAGTGTGTTCCTCTATATTGCACGTGATTGAAGAAAAAAGGACAGGGCATGCACAGATCAGCGGATTTTTTAACCATAGATTTAGTGAAAAGAGCAATTTCGATCAGCAAACCTTTTGATATTGTATTTCATTTATAAGTGGAGTTAAATAAATGTCTAAGAATGCAATGCTCTTCACGTAGGGCCCCTTAAAATTATTGTCAGTAGAAACTTTTAGTTACGTTTGCCAAGGTGTGCGTAACTGCACACTCAAAGTATGCCTTCGCACCACTGGCACAATATTATTAGATTAATTATATAACTTTATTTGTTCTGAAATATTTATAGTGGCAAATATTTATATTTGTACACCCATACTATTTGCCCATGACGATTCTGGTCTTCCAATGTCAACTAACAAAGACATGCACATTAATATTGTGACTGACGAATCCTTTATTAGAGTAAGCTAGTTCCTACTGTCGGCTGGAGGCTATAATTTCTTTCACGCACTCTAGGCAGCCGAGATACTTTTATATATAGGCACAGCGTAACTCCACCCCGTTTAATCTTGCAATGGACCACAGCGGTTGCTGCGAGCCATTGGAGTCACTCCAATGGCGTGTAAGTCTCACGTCACCTTCGGGAGAGGCGCCAAGATATTTTAACGCTGATGAGATCGCTTTTAATGCCGGCTGCGGTTCATTGTAACGTGAATTTTTGTATTGGTGTCATGTGCAACCAATGACGTAATAATCGTGGTTCTGTGGATATTTATACAGTGTGGTCAGCCATTTCAAAGTTGCGACGAGTCACTCGCTGTAGATGAATAATTTAGCCAGTGCAGTACGACCGTTAGCCTGGGGTCTTTAACGTGCACCATGCAGTAGTGATACACGACCGCACGCCGGTACAATGCTCATCCACATCGAAACGGGCAGGGGTAGGGATCGAGCCCAGAATCCCTGGGTTCTGGAGCGCGAGCTTTCGCTCCACGTGCTCCCAGCTGGTGTGCGCTAGCCCACTCGGCCACCGATCCCCCACCAATGGCGTCGCTGTGGTCGACTTTACACTACTTTGCGCGATTGGACAAACAATCACAATGGCGACCTGAAGAAAATAATTCTGCTTTCATCGACGGAAATAAAAGTAATGTCAGACTGTCAACGTTGACGGTGTTGAGTTTAAAATGCAATGACCTCGAGCTTCCACAGTGCATCCTGTAGACACTATATCAAACTTGCGATTCACAAGTGAGAATAAGTACCCAAGGCGGTGCCGCTACTGTGATGAAAATACTGGTAGTGACGTCGCGTAGGAGAAACGTAGGAAGCCGCCACCGAAACATCACGGTGCCAAGAGCCTGGTGGGAAGTGCTCAGAGTACTAACCCAGGCAGTAAAATCATGTGCCCGATAATAGTTTTAGACTACAATAATCAATAAACTTTGCCACTGTAGTACTCGCACTAACCGTGACGCCCACGGTCGCATACACGATATGCAATATTTAAAACTCGAGCCTTCATCCCATTTTTTGTTAAATTAACTGCGATGTTAACGATGACGCTCGTTTTTACAATATAGTGCACAGAGAAACGTGATTATAATTTGCTTATTTGCATGTCGTTCTGAAGCTTAAACTCCCTTGCAAAATGTATAAGGGCGCAGCAGGTGTAAAAGTAATTAAAATAAAATTCCAGCCCCTAAACCGTTGCTCACCCGCTGGTGTTGACCGGCTCCGGCACGTAGGGGCCTGAGGTGTGGGTGCCCTGCTTGCACCAGTCGTCATCCTGGCCCTCAGTGAGCGAGTAGTCGGGCGGAAGGGCGCAAGAAATTGCCGTCAGGCACGGCAGGGCCTTGCTGAACAGCTCGGGGTCGTACTCCTGGGGGCAGGGGACAAACGCGTTGTAAGCGAAGTGATGTTGGGATTTGTGTGAACGTGCCTTTTTCCGCTCCAATCTTTCTCCACCAGCGGCGCAATACGTGAAGACACGCCCGCGCTATCCTTATGCGCCTCCAGCAAATTGCGTCTTAACCAAATGAGCTTTAAAGTAAAAAAAAAAACGGGAAGAAAACCGTGAGGGTCAAGACTGAATGAGTGGGAGAGGCAGTCGACTTCAGAGGAATATGTCGAAGTATGAGTAGCCGAAGATGAGTGTACTGTTCGAGCCGTTAGGGAATTCAGAGCAGAGATTAAAAATCAAGCGGTTTTCTTCCTTTCTTTTTTTGTTTGCGAGAACGGGACAAAATGAAGTCAGATTTGATGACGCAGACGTGGATACTGAATTCACTGCGCCTGCATATGGAGAAGTGGTCGTAAACGTGCCTGGGGAGGTGAACATCCAGTTTATTAGTGGGTTTCAGCGTTACGAGGTGGTGTTGAATGCGGAAGCGTTCGTGAGCTTGAGAGCTGTTTTGACAACATAGAAACTGACGAGGCATGCGGTGCAGAAAAGTATGTAAGTGATGTTAGGAGATATTCTGGTGTGTGTTTCAGAAATTTTTGCTTGAAATTAGGGGGAGGAGGAGCGACATGGTTGCAGGTAAGGCATCTAGGGGAGTTGCATGGTGTGTACCGGGTGATGGTTGTGTGGGGGATTTAGGCGAGACGGACGGCCCTTTCACTAAGCGAGATCGGAGGTTTGGGGGTGGCGCTAGGCGAGAGTCGGGGCTTTAGAAATGCGTTTGGAAGGGTAGACGTGGCCAGTGGCGGAGAGAAGCTGATGGGTGAGTTTAGGAAGAGAAGGGTGGTATGTCAGGACAAGAGGGTTGCTGGGTTTCATGGGCCTGCGTGGAGAGAAAAGGCAGTCAGAATGAGAGATGCGGGAAATACGGTCTAATGCCTTGTCAAGAATGGGGCGAGGGTATTCCCTGTTTAGAAAAAAAAAAAATTAGGATACAAAGAGGGCCTGACTATGACAATTGTCATTTTCGCTGCGAGGGCGCCGGATGCGGAGAAATTGTTAAAACAGAATGGACTCGATTTGGTGTTTGAGGTGGCAAGAAAACTGGTGAAGGTAGCTGTGTGAGTCGGTAGGCTTGTAATGAACAGGTGCTTTAAAGCGGTAGTAGTTAGAGATGGTGAGGGCAAATAAAGGTAGCAGGGGTAGAAACTCAGGAGGTTAATTCCAGGGAAGGGTATGCGTCTTCAAGTTGTTGACCGCGTGCAACGGGCCGAGTCCGTACATGTCATCGATATATCGTCCGTAGAAGAGGGGCAAGGGAAGGGGAGTGTGTCGAAGAGAGACATCTCAACGAAGTCCGCAAAGAGGTTAGCGAAAGAGGGACCCATTTTAGAGCCCGTGGCGACACCACATTTTTGTCAGTAAAAATAGTTGTTGAATTGAAAATAATTGGAAGGCGCCTTGCCGAACTCGTCCTCTCCCTCCTAACGCCTTCCAATTCAACAATATGTTTTCGCATAGTTTGACGAAGGGCGTGCGCCCGAAACGTCGCTTATTTTCCTTTCTCCTTCCTTTTGCATGCCTCATCTCAAGCTTTTAGGTTTGTGCCAATTTTACTTGACGGTGGTACCCCACCCTTGGATACCCTTTGCATGTCCCGTGCAAAGCTACTCGCGACTCTGGTAATCAATAAGGGTCGCCACGCTTGAAAAATATGGCGGCCGAAAACACGTCGTGCCGTGCTCTGCGCCAGCTCAATGTTCAATGCTCGAGTTTAAGCAGTGAAGATTGACTTCAAAATTGTTTGCCTGATTTGTATTCTATACGCTCAAACTATGCGGCCGTATGTTGGTGTAAGACAGCTTCTAAAGGCTTAGCCTTTTTCAGGAAAGTGATTGAAAGGTTACCTATTGTCCTTCTACCGCTCTGATGAACATTGTTAAAAGTACAATGTCTGGTTCACGCGGATACGTAGTTTGCGTTCAGAGTGATCTAGGAAACGAATTGATATCACAGTAACGGCAGTCACCGGAAAGAATATTTGCCCTACTCAACATAAGAAGCAATGGAATTGAACCCTTTTCGTTAGGCCATTTTAAGTCATGGATCTAACTGCAGCCCAGTCCTTGCTACCGTTTTCGGTGTCGCGATGGATACAGACAATGCAACTGCCCCTGCCTTACCTCGGTGGCCATTGTGCCAACCGCCAATAGGAAACGTGCATTATAGGGAATGTCCCATAATTCAACGCGCGGTTACGCCAACGCCGACGCTTACGACGCTCAGGCCGGAAACGAACGCCTAAGAGCTGCACTCTAAAAAAAATATTGTTAAAATCGAAAACATTACGCGTACGAATCTCATCAAATAGGTTGAATTCCGTCCCTACTCTATGTGCGCTCTATGGCACCGAAGAGTCTAGTGTGCAATCCATTCCTTGTCCACAACGTCCCCTTTCCTCCTGGTATCGCGTGACACGACTGCACGTAGCAGACGGAGGCAACGACACGAAGGCGTAATTATCCATATTGCCGGGGACGGCAACTCCAGGAAAGAATTCGGAACAAAAAACTGAGAGTACGCAACCATTTTTGAGAGGGAGTCGAAGATGTTGGTGAAGAGGAGCATGGTGAGCCTCCTCTCCTCTTCCGACGCCGTCCCGTAGGCTCCCTGCCCTCCGCTGGCACTGTAGTAGCTCTTGCAGCGCTCGTAGTGCAATGTCAGCAGCTGCAAAAAGAAAGGGATGAGTGGATCTTTATCCTACAAATAAGGTCACGAGACGCAGAGTGCGCTGCGCAATGACAGATCTTACTTTTCTTACATTAGCGAATTCATTGCGATAATGTGTTGTTCGTACCTAATTCCTTAGTCGCTCTAAAATTGCGAGCAGTGACGGGCCGCGCCCGTAATATTGCGCAAATCTATATCCTGCTAAATTTAGCGGGAGGTAAGCCTGAAAAAGTTTACGACCGTTACGACATTCCTTTATTAATTCAAAGGTTGTGTAATGAAAATCAGTCCTCAACACAGTATATGTACGAAACACAGATTTTGGGCCTCTTTGGTTCTTGCAACAGTTAAACCTTCCATAACAAAATGTCTTGTTGGTGACGTTTTCTGGTTAGATAAAGTAATGAGCACGGTCCCGGCCATTGTACATACGGTGCCAGGAAGACAAAGAGTACGCTGAAATTTGAAGGAAACTTTTGTGTGCTTTGGTGATTTAGAAAACCCAGAAGCACAAAGAGGCTCGCAACAGTGCCATGCACGCAACCTTGCGCGCCTGTATCTATAACCACAGCCATGTGCGGTAATTATGGCCCTAGCACATGCGCCATAATCACTTGCCATTTTTGTAACGAGAGCGAAGAGCGTGGCCAAGACAGCGAATTGGTGAAGTAAAAAAAAAAGTCGCCAGTCAAGCCGCACATTGCAACTTCAGCCCGAGAAATAAACCTTTTTCAAAACCCTTTCAAGGAGCAATGGAGGCAATCATTTATTGAGAACGAAGCGTGTGATTGTATCCGCGCCGAACATATCCCTCGTTCTCGATGCGAGCTCAGCCGAGTTTACACCGAACGCTGACACAGCCCTTGTACCCAATATACGCTCTGAGTGCGTGCTCAAACAATAGCGGACTCGGATAATTGGCGGAGCAGCAACTAGATGCCGTGCAAGGTTAACAAGGGTCTATAGCATAGCACTCCGAGATGTTTTCTTCAATGGATGTGTTGACCTTGGCAGGCGGTCTGGTACTTTTGAATATGAATACGGTAAAAGTGCTTGGGCCTAGTCTGGTCGAAGAAAGCGACGATTTCGAGGAGTTGTCGGATCGCTTTTTGTGCCAGGCGTTGTTAAAGCAAAAACTGCTTTGGCCTCCGTAGAGCACTTTTTTGGAAACAAAAAACGCGTGTGACTCTTTCGAATGCGTTCGTGATTTTTAGACCAGGCTTGCTGCGGAGCACCTACGTCGATGAACACAGGCCGAAATTATAGACCTTTTTTTTTTTAAAGTGACAACTCAATAAAATCAGTGCTTTCAAAGTATCTTATTCATTCTAAATTCGCCTCTTGTGAAGCGTTTTGCTGTCCTCGTCAACTTCAATCTACCGTCAATAACCTGTTGTGAACAGTCATTTAAGAAATACTCATTAACAAATAAAGTTTGGGCGGCTAGCGAAATAACAGGCGCACTTCTATGCACTCTGGGTGTGAAATATTTCCATCAACGATGTGATATATAGCATTGTTATGGTCTCGAATCTCAATTAACTAAATTCAATATGGCATTTAGATTTTCTTTTACTGTTTATTCAATTGCCTTTAAATCTAAAACAAAATGACTGCTTGGAATGTGGAGTTACAAAAGAAGACTGAAATGATTACTAAGGAAGCAGCCAGAGGTCCCCTAAAATTAGGTATGATCAAAAACCGAAGTCCCTTTACAGAAATAAAGCTGGGTTTAAGATGAGTTTGTGACTACAAATATTACAAAACATCAAATGTCGAGGTCGAAAATAAAAAGACAACTCAGGGCACTATATGTTTGATGTCATTCTGTCACCCTCTATTCTGCTTTGTTTTCACACACACACAGTGTGATGAACTTTGCTGAGAACTATCCTACATTCTAAACATATGCATGCTTCCTAGCTGTAACGTACCTAGTTGTATTAATTAAACTGCAAATATCCTTTTCATGTTTAAAATGTTCCCGTGCCACGAAAGTAGGCACATTCTATAATAAAAGAGCCCTTAAGGTATACTCACATTATCAACCAAAATCTAATCCGACAAAAAAAAAAACGTAAAAAAAAACGTAAAAAAAAGCATAGATGCAACAGTGACTGTTTTGTGAAAGTGAAATTATTTTTCTAGTTAAAAGATGTATCTGAAAAAAATGACCTCAAACGTTTTCAAGTGACGCTGCGTGGCTCTCTGCTTCCTTTAGAAAATGAGTGGTACAAACAATGGCTTACCCTAAGAGCGACAGTTGTGTACTCGGTGATGACGGAAACATCTACCGTCAGCTTTCGAAGTAGCCTCAGGAGCATGCTCGGCTGCATTTCTCTGCAAGTGGCGCCGGAACAAACAGTTCGATATATCAAATAAAATAAACGGATCACCACCGCTTTCTCGCTATATTGTGGGAAAGACAGGGGTAACAAAGAACGCGTTCTGTGGTGTTTCCTCAAGTGTTGCACAGACAAACGTGGTACGTGTGCCTCGACGGCACAAACATCATCGTGCGTCTCTGACAGAATACTTTGACCAGGATAGCATTCTGGCGGGAGTAGAATGCCAAGTTCGTGTCTTCTGCGGTTACACAGCACAGCTTTTATTCCGCAATTTCGCGACTCCTCCGATGCACGTTTTCTTCCACTCCGGCACACTCTGCCACTAAATTAGCAAGCGCGCTGGCTCAACGTATTCTTAAGTTGGTGACAGGTTTAAGAGCTCAGGGGTTACTCTTCCCACCTCCTTACACTTTAGCAGAGCGAACGCGGAAGAGGAGGTCGCCTCTTCTCCAGCGTCTGCTCTGCTAAAGTGGAAGGCTTCCCCTGATCCCTTAAGCTGTCACCGACTATAGATATCAAGGCCACAGTGCCTCTCGTCGCCTACGGAAAAGCGACGAGCGACATAGATTACACACGAATGCTGCGTTACGGCTCCGCTGGTACGTGAGATCAATTATTGAGGACATAATTCCAAGCACTGACTCAGTATTCGTGTGACGCTCTTCTGTTACAGAAAGTGGCTAGAAGTCAGCCCTATAACATATTTCGTGTTGAACCTTCCCGGTCTGGTAGATTGCCCAGAGCATAAAAAAGTTACGTCCCAGTGAATCGCAAGTGCCCAGTTTTAAATTGCGTTTTTTCGGTTTTTTATGGAAAGCTTGCTCTAGCAGTGACACAGAACCTTCGAGAGAAACACGGACTGCCCACATGCTTTGGGTACTGTCCCGCATTCGTTGCTGTCTCTTGCAACCGTAATGGTGATATTGATACGACAGTGCAAGCATTCCTTCTCAGGTTCAGTATGCCGACCCAAAATTGTTTTCGGGCGTTTATAACAAGTTCATCGGCGGAAATTAAGAATAGCGAAACTTTATGCAAAGGTGCGGGGTGCGTTTTCTGCGGTTTGTTTTATTCACAGGTGAAATTTGTTAGACAGAATCCTGAATACGTAGCGTTCTAAGTAAACATGGAAGAGCCCTAAGAGTGGACTCAAGTAGCCTACAACTTCGAAAAAAATGCCAGGCTGCTTTACTAGAGCTACAATTTTAGATATAGAACATCGCAGTAAAAAGTTGCCTGAACAGTTTATTAGGGCTACTTGTAAGTTTGCTCCTTATTGACAAGCACGCATTTTGACCACTTTGGTTTAAACCAGAATAATCATTTTCAATAACGGTCGTAAAAACAGCGATTGCTTGTTTTGTGCAAACATTGGCTCACTTGCTGTTGACCTGTTTCTGAATATTCGGAGACCTATATGACATTCACATCAATAAATCGTACGACCACCGTCCTTGGGAATGGGCTCAGTCAGGCCTCTGTGTCAGAGCGGTAGACTAAGCTACTTTAGGCACCCCGGTGTTTTCAGATGCGTCGCAAAGGAACGATTGAACGCCTATCCATTCAGTGCACAGCTTCGGTTTGATCTGTAAAAATTCACACCTTTTTCGCATTATCGCAGCAAAAGCAGTGATACCAAAGAATGTATTCCGTGTTGCTTTGCGGCGACGTTGCACGAACGAACTTGATACGCATTTTGTGCCGGCACAAACATCGTCGTGTGCATCTCCGAAAGAAGGCCATGTCAAAGCTAACGCTCGAATGGGAGTGGAACGTAAAGTTCCCGTTTCTTGCAGTTCCATAGCCAGCTTTTACCCCGCTATTTCACGTCTCCCCATTCCGTCCGAAATCCACCCTTCTACTCTTCGTCCTTGCCTCCTCACCATTAGTGTGGGTACGCTCACCGCGCTGTGAAGTTTCAATCTCATTTGTCCCACATGCGTTGTTTTCGGATTTGATTCAACGTCAGGTTCTAAAACCACAAATACACCAGTTAAAAACCGAGCGTTTCCACGCTTTCTCCGGTGAAGTTTTACACCGATACTATTTTACGTGATGCTCTTGCGTTGATGGAATGTTCGTTAGAGGAGTCTACTAAGAGCCAGTCCATATTCTGCGCTAAAAACATGTTTGCCCGAGAGTTTCGTCCAACCCACTATGCTCTCTACGCACCTTGTAAGGGCCACGAGGAAATCGGAGACCTTCTCCCGCTGTCCCTTGGTGAGTATCTTGACCTTGGAAAGCCGGTACACGGTGTGGAGCGTGGCGTCCAGCAGGCTGGCGTAGTTCTCCGCGTTGCTGAAGTAGCTGTAGTACTGGATCAGCATGGGCAGCACCGAGTTGCCGATGTACCGGTTCAGCGCCAGGGCCATGTCGCTCTCTGTGTTGTCCGTCTGCCAGCCACCGAGCATACCGGTTACGAGACGCTCATGCATATGCTCACCTATGCCCATCAATAGCAGAAATAAACTTTGTGCAGCTATCGTTTAAAGATTGACCAGAAATATAGTCTTTATTCTTGGCAAGTTTTCTAGAATACAGGCTTAACTTAAGTTCAAATTCAACCTATAATTGAGTGAATACAGCGTGTATTTTGCGCTACCAGCTTTCCCAGGCTTCTTCGCAGGCGAATATTGATTTAGGTGAGTCCACTCAGGGTCCATAATTTGAAGAGAGCCTTTGGACATCATCTTAGGGATATAGCATTGCACAGAGGAATTGAAGCATATATTCTGCTCGCCTCATAACAATACGGCGAGCAAGTTCTCCAAAAAGCGCCTTTGGCACATCGGAAGGCAAAGAGGAGCACACCAATCAGAGTGCAGCATAGAGAACGCGCAGATAATGAGCGATGACGAGGCAGCCAAGCCCGCCTTGTCATTGGTTGAGGTGGGAAGAAACAAAAGCACGTGACCGCGTTTGGTGGATAAACAAACGCAGGAGGTGCTCAAGGACTAGTCGAACTTGCGCGCCTTTTAAATAATTAATGGGTCAGGTAGCAGCTTCTGTGATTAAAACGTTTGCAGTTGTATTTCGGAGAATCGATGAAATCGTCACATACGAAACTGCCTCGTTTTTACGATGCATTGTCGTTCTTCTCGGTCTCTTCCTTATTGCCACGACATGTAGAATGCACGTATGCAGAAACTAAGGTCGGAAATCGCAGCGGGCTGATAACAAGCTGACAAGCAACCTGTGCGGAGAGGCGCAGGAGCAGGTGGCCAACTTTGCCGCCCGCCACGTCCATCCGAAAGCACGTAATGATGAAATGAAAAATCTTGGGCTGGGGGGGCGGGGCTCCCGTTAGAACGTAATTCTGCATTACAATATCCTGGATTTCAAAACGTTACAGCTTACCCGGTCCAACATGGTGGCGGCCCGAAGGTCGGGCAAGAAGCCGTCCTCCAGCAGACGGAAGAATATGTCCTGATTCTCCAGCCCGTACACTCTCTCCAGAAACATGACGATAGACTGCTTGTGGTTCGGTTGCAGTCCAGGGGGCAGGTCGCTTTTCGTCTTGCCTACGGATGTAGGGTATGAAATTGTGAACTCTCGTGAATTGCAGATTCAATAAGAATTTTGCAATCATTTGCGAGTCGTTGATGCAATATGAAATTAAACCCGTTTGTAATTCGCAGATGGAATCTAAAATTGATATCACCTGCGAATCGCAGATTCAATGTAAATGATCAAACACTAGCAAGTCGTAGGTATATTGGAAAACAGTAATGTTAAAGAGGCATAGTTTTTTTTTTGATGTCTCACCTATTTGGCAAATTCAATTAGCTCAAGAATGTATTGTATATATACATTTCATCCTTATGTAATCACTTAATGAATTCACCGAACCCTCCGAACAACTAAGCGACTGGTTTAGTTTCAAAGTATCACAAACAGCATCTCCATCCCGTTAGCGTGAAGTGTGAAAAGTATCTGGCTTAAAAAAAAAAACGCAAAGTATCACGGCTCAGTAGCGCACGTAAAATAAACCAATGCTGGCAAAACTCGACCATTTCTAGCTTCCAAGGTAATACACGATAAAAAACGGCTCGTAAACTTACCGGCAGAAAAGAACGCACGATTGTGAGTCTACACTTTATCTCTAAAATGCCTTGAGTGCAGACAGAAGCGCAGGCTCGTGAGCTTATCTCAGCAGAATGTTTTTTGTTTGTACACTGCGCGACCTGTTAGCATGAACACGACATCGCCGAAGTTTTCAATTTTACCTCGAAAAGTTACTAGTGGACCGAAGTTTACTCCTCAAGTTAGTTCCCAAGAGAAACACTCTCTTTGGCCATATTCGTTCTCATACAGCCCTTTGATTTTAAGAGAATTCCAAAAAAACTATTGCAGGAGGACGCTTAAGCTTCGTCTTTGAGAGTATAACGCGATAGCTGATCATATAAAGCCCCGTTTGTTCTTGAGCCGTGCAAGCGCGTCTGCATGGCCTAGTCGGTAGCGTGTCTGACTCAGAACCGAAGGAAAGTGGGTTGGAATCCCGCCTCTGCCTAAAATTCTTAAATTTATTCCTTTAAAGCGAATGAATCACTTTATAAAGTGAAATCGTTTGAGACATGCGATGACCTTTAGTTCGCCTTACATGGCATGTTTTAATCACTTTCATTCCGCGCGTGAAGTCACGTTTCATGTGAGCCTGTTGGGTCGTTTGAAATTCCCGCGCGAGGTCATGTGGCTGTGGCGTCATGACATTGTGGACCTATCAGGATTCTCTCGTTCCACCGACGCCGACACCTGCTTTTCGGTGACACGAGCTCCTTAACGCTCTCGTGTCAAATGAAGGGCGATCAGCTGTTCGCGTTAAAAGCGTCGCGCGGTGTACGAGAGCTAGTGCGCAGAAGGTGCTTTTGAATCGATGTACTCGTGACCGTGCGTTTGTCAGCGCAGCAGATGTTTCTTATACTCCGTTTCACACTTAGCGTGCAACGCTGCCAAAGCTACTGGCGCGAGCGCGTGGCTTCATCTATGGTTTGTTTCCGCGAGAACGCGTGCAAATGATCAACGAGATCAAGCCCCATGTTCGCGCCAAAAGCTTTGACAGCGTTGCACACTAAGCATGAAACAGAGTATAGATGGAGTTTAGTGTGTTAATTCCTGTCGTCTCCACGAAGTAACAAAAATGCACAAGGAAAACAGCGTACATGATGGCGCCACGGTGGCTCACATTGGGGCACTCTTTCTGATCGCCGCTTTTAGCAAACTCTTTTGCCAAAGCCCTTTTAGTAAAGTTTCACAAGCTGTGAACTGAACATGTATTAAACATAATAGCAATGAGTGACCTCTAATAGATAATATTGTGCTTTCGTTTTGTAATTGATAAAAAAAAGTCAGAGCTCAATTTTTATTCTACAGCCTGTCCACTAGTTCGCCAGCCAAGTAGACTAATGGTCATACCGCTATTCCATCGGACCATAGCTTGGCTAGACATTTTTAGAGTAAGACGCCAAAGTAACTTAAAGAAACAAGTAGTTAAGATACTGTAATTTTGATGAAACAACTTTAATGAAAGTGAACATTCACTACATTTTGTTATCGAAAGTGCGTGAATTAGTTTAGTTGTTAGGAAAAAAAAATAGTTTGTAAACCATTGCATCCAGAGAAGAAATTTGTTCACCAATATAAAACTATCTGGTATCTTTTCTTATAAAATGAGTAGAGCGTTACTTAAGCAATGTATCGAAGTATCAATCGAAAGTGATTCTAATATTTTGTACCGGTATCTAAAATGCTTTTTCGGGGGAATCAATTACTATCTGTATATAAGATACAATTCGAGAGTATCTTGTTCAGACCTGGCTTCAGCCATCCAGGATGACCTCAACATTCTATGACTTAAAGGATTTGTTTGTCAATACTCCTTTTCCGCCACTGGTCAGAGCCTTCTCTCTTCCCTGCTTCTTTCGGGCGTCCGTGTTGTTCTGTTTGTACCGAAAATCATATATCACGCTCACTAAAAATAAAACAAACAAATGTGACGTTTGTGTTGAGACAGCTAAGGTCGTCGACCTTTGGGATGGAACGACACTGGTGTACGCAGTCGATGAGAAATATAGCCAGTGCAGTATCACTGCTAGTCTTGGATTTTCAACTTGCATATTACATAAATCGCGAAGAGTTTCAGTCGTTCTGAGGTGAAAACGACGCCGGTGCGACAGGAGATCTGGTAACAGATCGTGTTAGGGCACCCCACGTCGTAGCACGTGGAGCGAAAGCTCGCGCTGCAGAACCCTCTTGGATTTTCCACTCCCGCCCGTTTCGATTGGATCAGCCTCGTACCGGCGAGCGGTCGTGTGCCGCCACTGCGTGATGCACTTTAAAGTCCCCTGTCTAGCGGTGCTACCGCACTGCGTTTCATCGACAACGGAGACTCCAGACGGGGGCTCACAAACTTCCCGCTGTATACACAAACAAGCAACACTAATGAGGCAAATGAACGGCAGCTGAAGTGCGTCTCGAGTCCTCAGGTTCTTTGCCGCATGAGACTGGAAATCGCGCATATTTTTTCCCACAGTCGCCCCATGTGAAACGCCCTTTAGGACCTCGAGCCGACTATACACAAATCCTGATCGACTCATCTAGCCGGTCATGTCACGGTGGTAAAAGAAAAGCTTGCTGACTATTATGATAGACTCTATAATCAAAGTGTAAAGTTTTTTTCTGTCTTCTGAATAGCAAGAAAATTCTGCACTTTTATTGCCTGAAGCTTTTTCTTAAAAGATGCTTTGAGTCACGGCCAACTGTTGGGAACGGTGAATACGTCTCCGTTGAATTTAGGGATTGGATTGCCTGCTACGTTTGGCAAGATATTTTAACTGCAACATTTAGCGGAAATAGAACGTAACCTTTGCCCTTGAAATCAAATCTCCCTGCAGACCTCCCAAAGCTGAGTTCATGGCTGTCACCAAGACTACAGGCGCACCTACCTGACTCCCCCTTGCGCGGAGTCTGCAGGGTGAACCGCAGGCTAAGGGCCCCGAGCAGGTCGTCCAGAGGCACCAGGGAGCGCAGGATGGCCCTAGCGCGCACGCATTCGTTCTTGCCCTGCGCGATGGTGGCCGCCTCAGGTGCACATCGGCCCAGCAAGTCCACCAGAGTGCAGTAGAAGTTCAAGATAGCCGCTCCCATGTCAATGTCGTCTTCCGACTCCTCCTCGTCAGCCGCTGCACCCTGGGCCTGAAAAGACATCGACGCAACTCCCTTGTCAAACTCCTTTTAAAGCACAATGCATTTTAACGGAAGGAAAATTCTGGTGTGAATTGCATCAGCGTTAATTTTATTTCTACTGTGTGGTCAGCAGCTAAATTTAGCTGGCTAACGTCCTGCAAAATTTAGCTGAACGCCATTATAAGTCACGTGGTCGCGTGAACGCCTGACGTGTACCAGGCCAAGCCAGGTAATATGACGTCTTGGCTTCATGTGACCACATCGCAAGACCCCACACTGTCACTTGACCTCAGACAGTCATGAGACGGCATGGTCACTCGACATGACCACGTGACCTCAAGAAGTCATGTGCCAGCTTGACATCACGGGACATGGTCAGGTTACATGACATTATATTTTGACCTGGCTGGACAACGAACATTATTAGGTCAAATAATGACTGTGCCAGCGTAATGTCACGTGACACCATGACAGTGTACCATAAGTCACGTGACACGACGTCGCGTGAACGGATTTTTCACTGTCATGTTGCATTCATATGCGAATATATCCTTAATTCATACTGCATACAGGATGTTTGGATGGTAGGTCAAAGGAGTACTTTTGCGGACACTATTAGCTATAACGCAACAGCCGTGGTCATTCCGTACCCCCAGCGCCACCACATATCAGGGAAACCCTGAAACATCGCGCAAATTCAATTCAAATCTTTGGTTCGCTCAAAATTAGAGTATGCAGCTTTAATCTGGGATCCTGGTCAGACGACGCTCACTTCTCATCTCGAGTCAGTTCAGAACCGCCGGCGCTCGTTTCATACTTAATAATTGTCACCGTACAGCAAGTGTATCATCCATGAAATCTCTTTTCTCCTTGCCACTGCTTTCTTTGCGCCGTAAGTGTTCTCGTCTACGTCTTTTCTATAAAATATACAATTCTAACCCCGTTCTTAAAGAGAAGCTCTTCCTCGTCCCACCTTACGTTTCTCCACGCATTGATCATCAGTACAAAGTCGGCGTTCCTCATTCTCGAACCTCAGCCTATCACGATTCTTTCAATCCTAGGACATCATCAGAGTGGAACCACCTTCGGGCGTCATTAATAATAGTACCCTCGTTAGATGTGTTTAAAAGTGCTGTTACTAATTATTTTTGCGAAAGTGACCCGTGACCTATCATGTCTTCTATTAATGTTTGTTTTTTGTTGTTTTTTTCACTCACTCCCCTTTGTAACGCCCCCAGGGCCTTGAGGGTATGTAAATAAATAAATAAATAAACTGCGCCTACCCTTTACGGCGGAATTGCTTTTCCAGTTTATGATTACGCTCTCTCCTTGTCGTCTGCGGTGCGCAAATCAGATGCCGCCACAGCACTTGCCGATGTTTGCTTCACAGGCTTTTTAGTTGCCTCTTTCGGTAAGTAGTCAGCCAAACATCCAACAAAGAGAGCATACCGAGCTAAGCATAAATTATCACAATTCTAACACAAGGAGAAGTCTTGAAAAGGCGTTTATCCGATTAATAAAAGTAATCTACGGAGATATGTTTACAATCGTCGGCAACAATCATGCCTCAGCCCGGTATGTCCCCTTCGTTGTTTTCTTGGCTAACTTGTTTTCGTGAGTCAGGAAATCTCCGTACCGAAAGAGGCACCGACAAGAGCCTGCGCAGCAAACTGCGGTGGCGTCTGCTTAACACCTAACAAACGACAGGGAGAGAGCGCGGTTGCAACCTGGGAGAGTAATTTTGCCGCACAGGGCAGGCGGCGTACGTGCAGTTTCGGTGTGCGCCTGCTGTGTTGCGCAGGGGGCTACGGATCGGCCAGGGCTGCCGTGTTACATATAATAGTGTCCGCGATAGTACCTCCGTTATTGGCGTTAAAACATCTTCGGACATGGCGTGGGAGTCTTTAATGTTAAAGATACCTACCCAAAACGCAAGATAACAACGATAACTGCAAGGGAAACATGGGGCTGAGCTGGAAGCAGCCCTCTCAAAATGACAGCAGACGAATGCCCCATGCTTTTCATTTTCATTCAATTTAATTTATTTGGCTTAGGAGAGTCGTGAGTTTGCAGAAAGGCCAACGGCCCGTACCGGTTGGTACGGGCCCTAGGTTTCTTTTTTTTGTTTTTCCGTAAAAAAGTAACGTCATTGAAACCGTAAAAATTTGTTTTCTTCATTTCACTTTTTACACTTTAAAGCGAGTATTTTAGTCTGTTTAAACAGTGTAGCGTTTCCAGTGATCTGAACGTTATGGTGACTTTATGAAAGCATTGTTAAACCGAGTATTCCACGTGTTGTTCCTCTAAAAACATTAAATAAAAAAATTGTCATTCCTTGTTTAACAAGAGAAACGTTGCGCCGATCGCGTCAAGCTGGTAGGTTAAGGCGTTTGAAACAATGCGGTTGCGCTAAAGAAGTGTCGAGCTTAACAGTGATAAGAAGAACTAGGGATTAAAACTAAGCCAGCGCAATATTTCTACTTACGGGTTATCTTGCAACAATCACCTAAAATCAATCTTAGAAAATTTTGGAAATTTATTTTACCCGGTGGGACAACTCCCCATACCTTTGCAATCAATTACTTTGTCACTGGCGACCAGCGTAGAGAATAAAAGTCAAGTTGATTGAAAACATGATTTCAATCGTGATTTAAATCATGATTCCTGCCGTGATTTAAATCAGAGCAATTTTACTTAAATCATATTTGTGCCGCAAAAATAATGCGAAAATGGTTTTATTTGCCGTTTGTCTATCATTTAATTATGGCTATGTGCATTTGTTTCGTTTTGAAAATAAAAAAAAAATATTCGAGCTAAAATGATTGATATCAGGCTGAATTCGACCAGTATTATTCTGATCAGATTGGAGAATTGAGCCGCCTGTCTACCTTCCACTTCGTTCGCCAGTTACGTAACGTCTTATATCAAGCAAATCAGAACGCGAAAGACGGGAACAAGAACTAGAAAAGTCATTTTTATTGAAAGAATACCAGAACAATAAAGAAAGCAAATAAACAATTTTTGCTAAATAAAAAATCGAACTGCTTTTGTTCTAGTATGGCAGCAGTCATATGAAGTAATATGCGTTATGCTGTACTTTAAATTTACAGTATAGTCCTTTCTTCCGCAATGTTAACGGGGATAGGACGGCTTTATAAATTATACTAGCATGTTTAAAACTACATAGAGTGATAGAGAGTCACTATTTTCTAGCCTCAATGATTTAAATAGTATTATTCCGATTTAAATCGAATAAACCCTTTTTCAAACAAACCTGATTTCCTTCATAGAAAAACATATTTGTTTCTATTTGGCTAGCGACCCACTAATAATGGCCAATTCATTCAATACGTACTTCCAATCAATATTTCTGGAAGATGATATGGATATTCACAGAAGTATTCCCTTCGATTAATCACGTGTGCAAGATCAAGGTGGTCTAAAACATGTTTCGCAATTGTATGCTTCTATGCTTGTATGTATGCAATTGTATGCTAGACATCCACACTTGATTTCCTCTTTGCACTGCGTTTGGACTTGGCTTCAGCTTTGGATGGACAACGGAGGACAGTACGAGCCACTGAGGCCAATCCAATGCCACGTTGGCTTCACGTGACCTTCGGCTGGGCGTGTAGTCAGGCGATGCGCTCGCAGTGCAGGATCAGCAGACAGCACGCACTCCATCGCTATATTAGAATCATTTTTCAAAAGTTGCTATCTAGCACCAACGTTCCTTCGTCATGGAATCTAGTAAATGTTCTTCCTTCGTATAAATACGAAAACACATATTTATCGTCCAATTATTGACTTAGTTCCCTCACATAACACTAATGTAATCTATTAAGATGTAATCTACCAGCACATTAAGGAGTTACTTGAAATCATCAATATTTTATGCGATTTTCAGTACGGCTTTCGACGTGGCTTTAGTAACATTTCGCAACGGTATTTGCCTACGATATCGGTCACTACCTTGACAGTTGAAATGAAACTGACACAATATTTGTAGACCTATCTGAGGCCTTCGAAACTGTACCAAACCAAAATCTTGCATAAGCTTTACATCATCCTAAAGAAACCTTCCTTTGTCGGCAGGATATCTACAACTTTTTCCCTTCGCTCACAGCATGGCCGGCCCTACACCATCAAGCGCCCTGGGCAAGCTCCGGACGTGCCCCCCCCCCCCCCCTTCCCCTCTTTTTTTTTTAAATTCCCATATCTACTAGGTACGACACCACGTTGTTGGTAAACATGTGAGTAGTGACCCAAAACGAGCGCTCTGTGAGACGGGAACCCCATTCCAAAAACGAACGGCGATCGAGCACATAGCACTGTGTTGAGCGATGTGTCCACGTAAATAAAAAAAAAAAAAGGCACGCTGTGGCGCCCCGCTTTTGATGGCGCCCTGGGCGACCGCCCAGGTCACGCACCCCAAGGGCCGGCCCTGGCTCAGAGTAGGTAACTTTCAATTCTTCCAATTCTTCGAATGGGAATGTATCGTTGTGTGTTCTGCATTGCTTTGTCCTTAGACCACTTCTGTCTTTATTATACATAAATGATTTTTAACACCACATTAACAATAAACTTTGTCTAAACACTGACGACTGTGTTTTGTATCACACGTTTAACTCATTTCGGAATAACATTTTCCGTAGCGATTCCTTTGCCAGTATCCGCAATAATGATTTGCTTTCACTAATGTTTCTTCATTTATTCTCGCGTATAGGTTCATTTTGTTCTGTTTTGTATAACTCTTACCACTCCTAAGACAGCCCCCGCAAGGCTGAAGTATTTTAATATAAATAAATAAAATAAATAGTATAAAATAACCTAGCAGTATTAACTTATAAGGGTACTTGAGCAAAAGTTCTGAAGCAATCAAGCTAACACAGATGCTGCCCTCCGTTAGCCGCTGCTCCTGCCACACCTATGCCAACCTGTGAAGGTTGACACGCTGTGCACGATTACAAATTTCGAGATTCGTGCGAAGCAAACTGGAAAACCGGAGACCTAAGTGACGAAACACAGCTGAAGAGAGCGCGAGCTTTGAAAAAAGAAAAAAAGCGTATGAAAAGGTAAGTTGGCTATTGCAAAAATCTGAAATTTTTTTGAAGTCAAGTTTAAGATTATGTTCTCTTGGGCGAGCATGGCGGAAGTAGGCAAAGTGAAAAAAAAAGGTAGCTTAGCAAAAAAAAAAAAAAAAAAAAAAGGAATTTTTAACGTAACAGCCGGAAAGAGAAACGCGAAAAATAGAAGATGAATACTCATGTCTCTAAGGGTGTGTCACAGGACCGGCGTTCCTGAATGCACCAGCGGGGAAAGAGTATTAACAAAGAATATATCCACTACGATCTAAATACAAATGGACAAGATGTAGGGGCCTAGACGTGGTGCAAGGAAAGTAATATTTCGATATATCCAAGCTCAAGTTAACTCTACCGCTGTAAATACGCCACGTGATGAGACGGTCATCCTTATCTGCAGCACAAAAACAGAAAAAAAAAGAAGAACGCCGAATGTGCTTGTGATAGACAGGGAAACCCTGCAACCATACAGAGTTCAAGACCACATACAATAGACGCTTGACGGAATGCTACGCTACAGCTTTAAACGGTTCATTTCATACATTAGGATGCAGGAGCATGACGCACGATGGACTCGTTGCCGATCGAACAACGAACAGCAAGAAGGTTCTTACCTGCGCCTGCTGCTGTCGCTCCGCCACAATATGCTCCGACATGCGGACCGCCTCTCGGATGGCGTCGAGCAACCCTGGGCCTTCCCCACGCAGCGCGGGGCCGAGACATTCGGGACGCCGGATGAGCAGGCGGATCACCAGGTTCGCATTCTCCTCAACGCTCTCCCCTGCACGCGACGTCTCGCAGCGTAAGCCACTCAAAAGACCGGCGTGCAATCGAGACAACCTAGACTTGGCGTCAACAGTTTTGCGCGACCTCTTCAAACCCAGCTTAGCTTACGCAGTGCTCAAACTATGCCAAAGCTATGCGGAGGGCAAATTCGTCTGCTTCTTGCGCAGGGGGTAGCAGTGACGTCAGAACGCCGAGCCCTGGTTGGCTGATCGCGACCCCCTATCTGAGCGTCGTCTGCTCCTTTGCAACGTCGTCTGCTCGAAACGTCGTCTGCCTCTGTCTTACCTTTCCTGCGACTTTCGGAAGTGCAGAGGCCAGATTCACGAAACGATCTTACGCCAAAAAGTGCGTAAGACAAAACTTAAGAACAAATTCGTATTCACGAAACAAAATTTTCGCAAGTTTTGCGCAGGTTACGTCGAAATCCTACGACAGCTCCGAAGCTGTCTTACGCACTTCTTACGATTAAATCAGCATGGCCGACAGCGTCGCGATCGCGACGACCCACGGACGTTTATTTTTCTACGTGTGCTTCTCACGCGTCCCGACTTCAAGCAGCAAGAAAAAAGTAAAAAGTACTTGAAACAGACCACGACGAACAAGAGCGCTGGATCCACAAACACCCGGGAAAAGCTCCAACGGCCACAATTCCACCGAACGCGACCAAGCGAATTCCACCGAACGCGACCAAGCGAACGCGACCAAGCGAAGTTAGGCCTAGAAGGCACTCCGCGACTCGGCGACCGTCTGCCCACGACCGGCGGGCGTGCTGAATGGAATATGCCCGCGCAACCCTTGTGAACCCTTCCCGTATTATACTTTGATCGCTGACCTCAATTTTAGATTAAGAGGTCAGTTTCTCCTCTTGTTATCTCCTTGTTTCCCGAGGCAAGGGTGACTCTCGCCGGTGACAAAGCGGTGAATCTCCGACAGACGCAGGAAAGGTAAAGCAGCCATCGCTTTGACTAGCAGACGTAAAGCAGACGACGTTAACTGCGCCAACCCGCCGACGGCGTTAAAGAATGAGGGGTCTCGCCGCACACGAAAGAAGAGAAAAAGTATTAGGGAGTGGACTTGCGGACACTAACACCCTCACTCTCGGTTCTTAGCAAACAAACCTCGGTGCCTCGGGACATCCTCGCCAGTGAGTGCTTTGACTTCCCCCCCTTGATGTGCGTCTGCTAGTCGTTAGACAAGAACAACGTACCGCTCGAGTTTTTCGTCTGCCCTCTCTGAAAGGCGAAGTCGACCTCGCTCGCAAAGACCTGCACTTCCGAAAGTCGCAGGAAAGGTAAGACAGACGCAGACGACGTTGCGAGCAGACGACGTTTGCAAAGGAGCAGACGACGCTGAGATGGGGGGTCGCGATCAGCCAATCAGGGCTCGGCGTTCTAACATCACCGCTACTTCCTTTCTCATGCACAGAAGACAAAAATGAGCCCACTTGCAAGGCGTAAACTCTGTTTCATAGTTAGTGTGTAACGCTGTCAAAGCTTTTGGCGCGAGCATGGGGCTTGATCTCCATAATTTGCACGGGTTCTCGCGGAAACAAAACCATAGATGAAGCCACACGCTCATGCCAGTAGCTTTCACAGCGTTGCACGCTAAGTATGCTCGCGAATGAGACGGAGCCGCTGGATAGCGCCTCTCATTTTGTGCGCATAAGCTCACGCCACGTATACCCTGGCATAGTCGAGCTAAGCCACTGCAATTTTGTTTTTTGGCAGCGGCCTTATCGCGTTCTCGTGAGACTCTGCAAGATGCCCTCGCGGCGACGTGGACGCTAGCTGTGCGGCGCTGCATGAATATGAGCCACTGCATATGGAAGCTTCAGCGAAAGCTGTTATATATCTACGCGGACACACTGGTGATGGCGTCAGATGAGGAGAGACGCGGGTCTTGTATTCTCGGGGAAATTGATAGATCTCCGATTTCTGCGAGAAATATGATGGCTTCCTCCTCTCCCAAACACGGAAAAAGCAAAAAACGAGAAATGCCCATGCTAATCATAACGTAAAACAATTAAGAAACCTTCGAGTGGAAGGAAAAGACAACAGCAGGAGAACGTCTCAAACGCAGTTTCATTTGAGACGCTCTACTACTGTTCTCATTTCCTTCGACTTCAAAGTTTTCTAATTTTTACACACCAGATTCTTAAGTGTTACATTATGAATAATTATTACCAGCTCGTCCACACACTCCTCGTTTTTTAGGCTAAGGCTGCCGATGCTGAGGGGATGCATCATGTACTAATAGAATCTTTGCGGCACATAAAAGTGCCGGGTCCCTCGCCGTATCCTGCAAATGAACTGCGCCCGAGGGGCACTGTTGCAGTGCCGTGTTTAAATTTAGTGAACTAAAGTCTCCCTAAATTTAGCGGAAGGGTGTGGTACTCTGACGCCCACGACGTCCCTTAGTAACATGGCATCACTCAATTCCACGTAGGTTTTGCCGAAAAATTCCCCGTTCGATTGAGCGGAGGAATTTCTCCACAGAATTTAGCGGGAAAATTTTAGCGTTGTGATATCATGTCACGCGACACAATGACGTCCCATGCGACGGCATACGAATTGCCGCCACATTGAGCGGGCCACGACGCAGGCACACGAAACACACGCGGGATTCGCCGTGAAACCTCGCTACTCGGGGCCAACTTTTACTAGCCGAAGAAGCAAAGAGCGCGAGAGCACAGTAGTGATAGGCGCTCAATGCGCGCGGGGCTACCCATAGGTTTGGCTTCATTGCCGAGCAAAATCGTGCCCGCGTTTCCCTCTCTGATGCGCTCTCAACTACAAAGATGCTACGCATGCGCATCGCTAAGCTTTCTCGCAGAGGTCTGGATCCCGTAGAAAGTTCCAGTGGGCGCTGGGAGACAGCGGAAACGATCTACGTCCCCAATGGCTGCTATGGCCACAAAAGGTATAAGCCGCCTTAGCGGGCTTAGGTCTTGGAGACAGGAAAGTTAGAGGTACCCTCCTCGACGCCACCAGGTATGCCCAGACGGGGGCGTCCCCTACAAACGCACCGTTGACCCAGACGCAGAAGCGCAGGAAGTCGAGGTAGCGCTCCCCTTCCACGGGGTCCCAGCCCACGTCCGGGTAGCCCCTGTCGATGAGCTCCAGGTTGGACTGGAGCCCGCAGCGCGACATATACGCCGCAATCTTTTCCAGGTAGTGCTCTCGCAGGGCCAGGGCCAGCTCCGAGTTTTCCATCAGCGAGCTGTACGCCACGTCCAACGGCGTCGAGCCTCGCAGCGACGGTCGGGCTGCAACAGAAGAGGCCTTCTCTACCCGATACCTCCTACAGACACTCGCGGAAATCGAAATTATTTAAATCGTGCTTGAAATTCTGATTTAAGCCAGACCAGTTCTACCGCGATTATATAAATCAAACCTTTCCAGGAAAAAGAATATCCCAAAATATATATTTATTTACCATTTCTGAATCAATTGACGTTGTCTAAATGCATTTTGTTTTGTACAGAAATAAAAAAAAATACTAAGTAAGGAAGATTTCTGTCAGTCTAAATGCGAAAAAAGGAGTCTCAGCAAATCGGCGTGTAGATCATTCGTCCCAGCTCGCACTTCGTTTATCAGTTACCTAAAGTACTATTGCGAGAAAATCATAAAATGAACGCAAGAAATGAAAACGACAAACGTAATGAATTGTTGCGAGCAAATCAGAACGCCGAAAAAGGAAACGAAAACTACAAAAATGTTTTATTTCGAGCGAATCAGAACGGGACAGAAAGATCAAAAGCAGCTTACTAGTCCACAAAGATCTCAGTGTTTTTGTTTCTAGTATGGCCGAGTAAATATGAATAAAAGTTAAAGTGTACATTAATATTAGAGTAATTCTTTCTTCCCTATTAGTAATCGGGTGAATCGATCAATGAATTTGCCATGTTTCAAATGCATATACCGATAAAAAATCACTAATTCATACTCACGGTAATTTAAATATTATTAATCCGATTGAAATCCAATAAATCTGATTTAAATAGTCGAAGGGCTCGTCAAGCTGTGCCTTTTCTGCTCCTCCGCCACCAATGTTGGTATAAATCAACGAAATATTATCATGTTATTTCTCAAAGAGGATATGATTCTTTTCCCCTGGTCAGTGACAATAAGAGACCGGCAAGGAGACTTTTTGGAACGACTTCCAATCACGCTCGTTGCCCTTTGCCGTACTTTGGCTGCGTGTGCACGCTGGAGGATCACGAAACGCCCTTTAAGCTGCACCGACACGTCAAAACATATTTATTATTGTCTGAAACGATTGAAAACAATGCCTCGACATTACCCTCAGATTTCAGAACTAGAAAACTCAGTATTTGTGAAGCAAAAAAAAAAAAAACAATTTTCCGAAGTTGAATTTGAAGTTCCCGCGTAATCCGCGCCAGTGCAGTGACGTCAAAGATTGGATCGTCCTTCAACTCGAGTTTCTCTCACGCCTCCGAACCGTCCCGACGTGAAGTGTCGTCTTCGCCAGCGTCCCGCAATCAACCGCTCTACTCCGTGTCTGCCGCCTATCACTGTGACCAGATGACGCTTCACTTTCAATCTGGAAGTTCTTTTAAAGCTCTTTCAGCGATCTCAAATTCTTTGAAATGGTGCGAGTTCAGAGAGAACGCGCAGTGGACTTTTGTGAGCGACGTGAGGGTGCACGTCGCGCTGGTTCTGCTTGAAAGGCTGCCCCGGCGAAGTCATAACCGAAACTACGGTACAGACACCAAACCCGATACATAGGTTGCACTGACGTCACGTCGCATATTTTTGGCCTCCATGTAAGAGGAGGAGAGGGAAGCTGCTTTTGTAAGAATTTTGAGTGACGGGCTAATCTTCTATAATCTTCTGGGGGGAGAATAGCGACGACTGGGGCAAATCCGGGCGGCACAAAAGGGGGCCCTGATAAGAGCGGAGCTTCTTCTCGACCTCCTCTCTGGTGGTCATCGGAGCGCCCTTTGAATGACGTCACGTGCAAGCCATGTATTGTTTTGACCGTTCGACGATTTCCTTTTCCAAATCTGAGGGGCTGTCGGGCACCTAAGAAAGCGAACTTCGACCGATTCCACGTCTCGCCGATCATCCTTAGTGCTACATGTGCCGAGCGCCGCCGGCGCCGCCCTGTTTTCCGAGGGAGGATAAAAAGCCAGGAGTCGACATCGCTCCGGACTCCGACTTTCGGTATTTAAAAAAAAAAAAAAAAGGCCGTAGTGCTTTCGCAATTGCCTTAAAAAACATGCTCTACGAGTGTCGTTATTAGATATTATAGCAATGTCGCTTGCAGAGCTTCTAAGTTTATTCACTTTTGACGTCACAGTGGGAGGGTTAACACGCGCCCCAGTTATACACCCACCATCCCCCACTGCGCCTCCGAAAAGGGCGACCCATCTTTTAACGTTGACACAAGAGTGCCACCATCTTGAATGTCATTACTTCCAGTATGGGCTAAACCATTGTTTTGCCTTTGACATTAAAGTTGCAAGCGTCGCCTATACTGGTTTTGCCTCATCCCTCCTTTTTACTATTTTCACGCCGAAAGCTTTCATTCTTTTTCTTTTTGACGCCCCTACCGGTTATCTAGACCAGGTGGCTGGGGACGAGAATACAGAGGTGTATAAAAGACAAGGCCTTAAGAGGACGTCATCGAGGGGAGGAAGTGGCCGAGTGGGCTAACGCGTCTCAGCTCGGAGCGTGGAGCGAAAGCTTGCGCTGGGAACCTCCTGGGTTCGATCCCCGCCGCCCCCGCCCGTTTCGATCTGGATGAGTTTCGTACCGGTACGCGTTCGTGTGATCACTACTGCGTGATGCACGTTAAAAATCCCAGGTTAGCGGTTGTACCGCACTGGCTAAATTTCTCATCTACAGCTAAGAGACCGATTACCCGTTGAGGCGCATCTCCATCAAGGCTGTATAAACATAAAGAGCAAGCCATTTTTTTTTTAGGACGTCATCGTTCAAGCTTGACTCGAGTACCCCGGAGAGCGGCCGACGCCTGCGTCTGGCGGTGCCGCTGTGAGCCGTTGTAACACGCGCTGCCGGTGACGTGGACGCAAGCTCGCCGACAGAAGGAAAATGGCATCTTTGAAACGCCCGCCCCCCAACACGCACTCGACGCTTTACGGCGTGCTTGGCTACGCTCTCTAGGGGCACGGGGCGTCCGAGTGTTTTTGAAGGTACGAAGCTCGCCTTGGAGACGGGAAAACTGGAGCTCCTCCTTCTTACTTTCTCGGCGACTGCGGGCAGCGCTGCCTGGGTTCACTTCACTGACAAGCTGAGAGGGAGGAGCGTTCGTTGTCGCGCCTCTAACGCTAACTTCCTGCCTTCCACGACGCTTGGACGTCTCGTGCTCCTTGAGCCGCCGCGCGCACAGGAGTAGCACGGCGGAAGGCGCGGAGCGTGTGCTGGTGGACGGGCCTTCGAAAGAAACGTACTGCTGTTCTTGTATAAGTTATTAATGACGGATTTTTCTTTGGGCCCCGGGGCGGGGGAAGATTGTCGCAGGCTCTTTCTTCTAGGTTATAGTGGTCTGACTGTTGAGGGAGAACGTGTTTAGTTTGCCTTACCTATAGGGTAAGGGGAGGATGCGTCATATGAAGGGGAATTCAAGACATATAATACGAGGTGTCAGCTAAAATGTTTACTGGGATCTTTCAGAGCAAAAATGATTCGTCCATCGCCGAGCATCCTCCCAAACAAAGCAATAGCGCTCTTCATCATCTGCAAGAATTGCAGAGCTTTCTCTTATCTTGTTAAAAGACATGAAAGAATTATCATAAATCGCGTAAACTACGTAGAATGGCACCAGTTTTTTTTTTAAGTTTAAGAAAAGTGTTTAAACCTTGTAGATAAGATAACGGTTCGGACATGTGGTCCGAACCGCCATCGCTAGAATTGCGTGGCGCGTTGGCTTTTGGCAATGTATAGTTTATTTTTGCGATAAAAAAAGAAAAATCAGTAAACATTTTGTAGGACACCCTGCACACATAACGACCGATTAAAAGGTTAAGAAAAAGTTTGAAAATTCTGTTAGGAATGTAAGGGTCTCTTGCGCTACATTTTCGCAAAGACTGGGCATTCGGCGATGAGGAGTTTATTTCTGAGATAAAGAAATCACCGTAAATATTTTTTGGAGACACGTTTTATATGAAGTGCGCAAAATACTCTGCCTGAAATGGCGAAAGGTTCGGGACGCAGACGAAAGGGCTGAGCGAGCAACTCACAGAGCAGAATGTTGCTGTTCTCTAGGAGGAAGTCCAGGTGGTCGAACATGGCCTTCTGGTTCTGGCGACTGGTGCGACAAAAGTAGCACAGGAAGCGGCAGCACGACACCACCATCTCGTGGGAGGTGTCCTGGTGGAACGAGAGGAATATCTCGCATTAAGTTTTGACAGTTAATAACAATGCACTTTCCACGGTATTAAAAAAATACACAATCTTGATCATGCTGACACTGACAAGGGAGCACGAAATGCGTCCCGACAAACTACAAACACCTATTTTTGTACTCATTTTTTTTCAATATACCTTTGCCGTTTTTTCCTTCTTTCTCTGTCTCCTAATCTCCCTTCCACCTTTCTCATTCCCTCTTTCTCTCTTCCCCTTTCTTCCTTTTAATCCCTCCCCATCACGCTCCTATAGTGCTTTCCCCGCTCAATTTAATGGGGAAGCTGGATTGACGTAGAAATCACTCGACGAAGTCATGACGTCAATTTTCCCGCTAAATTTAGTGGGTAAACTGGGTTGTGTAACGTTCCGATCCTTCTCTTCTACCTTCTCTTTCACTCCCTTCTATCGCCCTTGAATTCCCCCTCCCCACCCTCCTAGAGTGTTTCCCCCCAATCTTAACGGGGAAACTGGGTTGGTGTAGAGGTCACGTGACGTCATGCCCAAACGTCAATTTCCCCACTTAAGTTAGCCGGGAAAGTGGACAGTGGAACGTCTCCATACCTCACTCCCCCCTTCCCTCTAACTCGGATTCCCCTCCCCTGTTCTTCCTCCACCTTCTATCCTCCCGATCCCTCCCCCACCCCCCTACATTTCTTTCCCCGCTGGATTGAACATTTAATGGGGAAGCTGGCTTGGTGCAGAGGCCACGTGACGTCAAAATATGGCGTCGATTTCCCCACTAAATTTGGCCGGGAGACCGGATTACGAACGTCTCCAACATCTCTACCCCCTTCCCTCTCACTTCCTCTCTAACTCACTCAATCACCCCTCGTCTGCATCCACCTTCACCCTTCAAAATGCCTTCCCCACCCTCCTACAGCGCTTTTCCCACTGAGTTTAACGTTTAATAGGGAAGCTGAATTGGTGTAGAAGTCACTTTAGATGAAGACATGACATTGGACCAATGGATATATTTAGTTCCGAGGAGATTTTGAACAATACTATTATCGCACTTTTTACGAACGTTGTCCATCATAAAACATCAAAGTATTGCGGGTGTAGGAAAAGTAATACAGCAGTTATGTGTCCGTTCGCAAGCGCAGAAAGAGGGGCGTATCATGATCTTTGCTTAGATTCTTAATAGAAAAATTAGCCACCCACGAGTGTAATTTAGTATTTTCTACGATGCTCAGAGTCTGTAGATTGATTTACCACCATAAATAGAGGCGATCTCTGCATCCACTTGAGCACCCATTCAAGTTAGGTTGAATTATAATTTCTCCCGCTAGAAAGCACGAGACCCCAATAAGCATCTGAGCACTATTGTTATCGGACACTAAGTTCACCGTTTGCAGCCATAATTACATTATACTATGGCCTAAACAAACCACTCATAACTTCCTCGAGAAGCCGTGATGTGCGCATTTTTGTCTATCCTTTTTTTCTTATTGATTATGAATGATAACAATAACAGGGACTTTTAGCAAACTGCTACAGAGTTCCGTGTACCGAACTACCAGAGCCTTTGAAGCGGGTGCCAGGGTAGTGCCGTGACCGTGGGACGCGCGCTTTAAAGAATGCTTGAAAGGGTCGGACAGTGCGGTACGCGGAACCGGGTAACAGTTTGCTGAAATTCCCCAATATTGCGAAGGGACCGTGCAACGATTTTCGCTTGGAATGGGTTTCACTTTACCCGAGCTTACTGGCACTAGTGACAGCCATGTATAGTCGCATGCAACGCCACCGACCGAGAAGCTCTTTTTTTTCTGATTGATTATCGATGATAACAATAATAGGGCTTGGCTGGTTGCCGTACTTTAATTATTGTGTTTCCCAACCACAGAGAATTGTCTCGAATGTTTACTTTCGAGAAACTCCTGTGTTGCGGTGTAATTTCCAAGGCGAAAGCGAGCGTTTTCTTTTAAACTCTTCTTCGAAATACTTGATGACGTAGCTGCAGGTTCGCAGTACCCCCCTTTCCTGCCCTCCCCAGTGACGATATTTGAGTGCGGCCCATAGATGGACCCGAGAATCGCGGGAACACTGGATTTGGGCTCGTGAAAATAGATAAACTAACATTCGGGTAGTGGCCCGTGTCCAATCGCTGCGATGCCGACAATACCCGAACTGTAAAAATTGTCGGGAACTCAGCGCGTGTCCTGTGCTTTGACAACCCCAGCACCTGGCAATCATCAACATTGGCGGCATATAATCGACTCCAGATCACGTGGCCGCTTCTTCTGACTGCGAGTTGAAGGCCGATGACCAGACTCGAGCTTCTGCAAGGCAGAAGATCCTCCTCCCTATGGGGGGGGGGGGGGGGGAAGAAACAGGCAACTATGGACAGGGTAGAAGGGGAGAGGATAAAGCGAGGGAAAAGTGAAAAGCACGAACTAGTCGTCGGTCCGGAGATGAACGCTGTTCGTATTTCTTTGATTCTTTTCTGCGGCTTCTATTGCGTGTCGTGACATACGCGTGTTTTATAGGTCATGAACTTCAATAATTCGTTCTAAACAGCCTTTGCGGAAAGTACAAAATTGTTGCATCGCCCCTTTTAAACATATTTCCTACTTCAATGATCGTTTCAGCTGGTATTTTATCTCATAAAGCAAGTTTCCATTACCACACGTCGTTCATACGATGACCCGTCCACGCTCTAAAGCGTGAAACACATGTGAGCAAAAATCGCGTCGCATATCACCGCCGCGCAGCGTGACCATGCGGAGCGCAAGTTTGTCTGCTTCAGCTGCAGGTGTTCTTGTGACCACAGAACGCCGAGCTCTGCTTGGCTGTGATCGAAGGATAGTGGGTAGACTTCGAGGCAGCTTGCTTTGGGGTCTATCCACCATCCTTCAATCAGAGCCAATCAGAGATCGGCGTTCTGACGTCACCACAACCCCTGCAAAACTAGCAGACAAACTTGCGCTCCGCATAGAAACCACCAATAACAGCAACGACTGTCATGGTTACGCCGCTCAGCGGCTCGAAAGGACGCAATATTTACTCACATGTGTTTTCCGCAAGAATCAAAGGAAGAATAAACACACTTACAAACAAGGAGAGACGGCAAAGTCTACCCATGCCCCTAATCGTGTCGGAGAGCCCATCGTGCCGTATCGGATGTGCAAAAGCGGTTTCGTAAAACTTTCTATTATGACGTGACACCATGACATCGTGCGACGTCGCCGTCATGTGACCTTATAAAGTCACGTGAGATCGCACACATGGTGCCCAGCTTCTTCGCAACGTATGCTTCCCGATTTTTGCCTGAAGAATGAGGCCAGTGTAACTTTCTTCTTCCTCCAGTGGTCCCGTCTCCCTTTGCCCACCTTGTTGGCGTGGGGTGCCTCGGCGGCCTGCCCCGGGGTGGAGGCGGGGGCCGGGGCGGCAGCGGGCGGCGCCTGCCCCGAGGACTGGGTCTGGGCGCGCTTGCCCAGGGTGTTGATCATCACGTCCATCACGTTCTCGTTAACCCTCAGAATCCGGATCAGGTCCGGGTGTTGGAAGAAGATGCGGTTGTTCACCAGGGCCCTGCATGTGGGGGAGCGCAGCAGCATTCGGAGACAACTCGGTGTGAGAAAGGTAGACATTTTCCAAATTACTCGACTACCAATTGGAACGCTGAAACCCACGTTACGAGAGAAACTCAGTTGTGGAACAGCCGCTGACGGTTGTACCCCTCTCTCCCCCTCGAGTCCACTACGCGTTCATTTGAAGCACCATCGAGAGGCTGCATTTTAAAACTGTGTATTGCATAGAGAACAGGGTGATGTGCCATCAAGACTAGCCTCAAGATCCACGTGCTAATTAGAGTACAAGGCAGTTGCAATAGCAGACGTCCCCAAAATTGCGGCGTGTTGAACCACGGGAGGCGGACCTCAGGAGAAGGGGAAGATACGGCTCTTGGGCGAAGAGTCTATGGCCAGTTTTGTAGCTGAGTTGATCTAGTAACGTTGACTGAAACGTAGGCATACGGGCTGCACGGTCCACTTTTACCCGCAATTGGCGAAGGGGGACGTCGCCGGCGTTCTTCGGTTGCTAGATGTAACGTCACGGCGTCGCTCCCTATAACCAGGCACTACAATGCGGCCTTCGTTTTTATGCGTAAAATCGCCAAGCCTCCCGAAATATGCACCCTCTGCCATCTGTCGGCGCTTGCAGAAGGTATTTTTTTGTCAGATTTTACAGCCAGTGGGGCTGGACGCCATCCCGTGGCGACGTTGGAAACTTTATATACGTGTGCTCCAAAGCAGTGCAAGGTCAGTCTGCACCAGGGCACTAATGCCTAACGCACTAAACCACATTCCTCGGACACCACAGTCATCTTCAACACGATGGCGAGGGCGCAGGAAAAGGTGATCCCCAAATCGAAGACAGCTATTAATGCAGGAAGAGTTGACTTGCGGGAAGAGTCCTACTACCGAGGACTTCGTCGACTACTTCGTCGAGGGAGACTCGACGAAGTCTTCACTTTTGTAAATCTAAGGAGTGCACAAACCACGTAAGAAAAACTGTTTCTGTCTGCTTCGTTTTACTGATAATTGGCCTTAATATTCGGACGCTTTAGGATGCGCCAACCTATCGAAGTAGGCACCCACTAAAACTCCTTAATGCTGGAAACACACAATCACACACGCATACAATTTACTATTTTTCACTATGTTTCACGTTTGATACATTTTAAAAACAGTTGTTCGCGCAGTGCGGAAACGTAACGCTAGGAGTTGGTAATAAAAAACGTACTCTCGCGAAACTACATCGGCGGCGCTACCGAGTTTAGACTTCTCGTTTTTGAGTCATTTGGCCACAGTGGCGCTGATGATGAACCGACGGAGACGTGCTCTCGAACCCTGCCCAGCGCCTATAGCCGTGGTAACGTGTTTGGCGACGACCACAGCGCGCCTGTGCGCCGAAAACGTCGCGCTATAAACGAGATCGCAGCGTACACGCACATTGCGAGCACGGAACCAACTAGCTCAGCTTAAGCCTCACTCTCAGAAAAAAAGGGTGTATTCTTACACCCTTTGTCCCATATAATACACCCCAAAACTTCAATTTGACGTAAAGCGCCCTATAGTGGAACAGAGGGTCCCAAATTTTACGAGGGGCTTGATAGTCGTGTGGTACCACTTATTAAAATAGCTAATGTACGCGCTACTGACTAAAAAAAAATAACCGTGGTTTTCTTGGCCCTACTGCAAAAACTAGGTGCTTTTACAGCGGAGCTGTTAACGGCTACGTTCCCGAGGATCGTGTCCGGTACAAAACACTTGTCGACAGAAACGCCTTTGGACAGCTACCGCCCTCTATAAGCGACGGCGGCAAGCACAGAACCAGTATGGTTGCCGCCGTTGCTCGTAGATGGCGCCAACTTTTCCAGCTATTATAAGATGATATTTATCAAGAGGCCTTGACATAGCCCTTTCATCAATAAAAAGATGTTTAACCACCCCCACCAAGAATAGATATTTGGGTGGCTTCGTTGGTGGGAATTCATCGTAGGAAACAGCGCGAAAAACAGACGACGACATAGAAGAATCACACGTAACGAGCACAGCGCTCGTTACGTGTGTTTCTTCGTCCTCGTCTGTTTTGCGAGCTGTTTCCTACGCTCTTATCAGTTGCGGTTTGGACTTGGGATGGGTCGGCTGCGCGCCCTTTCGGGGAAAGAAGACTGGCTGCGGAACGAGCGGCGACGTACGCAGCAGCGCGAATGGGTCCGTAACCGCCGCAAAGCCGCTGTCGCCTCGACTTCCACTGCTTCCAGCGCTTCAGATTCCCTTGCCCAAGAGCTCATCGCTCGCCTGGAAAGCCGCCGCCGAGAAGAGAACCAGCAATGTAAAGGGCGCCGGCGGGCCAACGCCACAGACGACGATCATGCCTAGGGATGTCGCGAACCACCCCAAGTTCGATTTCGAAAGGTTTCGATATTTGCGAAGCGAACTAAGGTTCGATTTCGAAAAATTTCGATATTTTCGTACCGACCGAGGTTCGAATTCGAAAAATTCGCAACTTTCGATCACAGTGGAGTTTCGAATTCGAAAAGTTCGAAGCTTTCACGGTTTCAAAAATTTCGGATTCGAATATTTCGAATATTTTTTTGCTTCAGGTTCGATAAATTCGAAGATTTCGAAATTCTTTGGAAATAAAATTCGAAAACTTCGAACGCTTCGAATTTTTATAGACATGAAGTTCGAACAATTCGAACATTTCGAATTTCTTTCTGCATAAAGTTCGAAAAGTTCGAAAGTTTCGATTCTCTTTTAACGCTAAAATCGAAAAAAAAAAAAACTTCGAGGATTTTGAATTTTTTTTTTAGTCCAAGTTTTCAAAGTTCGAAGTCCAGTTTTCAAGTTCCTCCACAGTTTGTTTCAAATGACGTTTTCACGACTCACTTTTTACAAAATCAAGTTTAGAAAAGTTAGGGTGTGATCTAGATTCTGCGAAGTTCGTCACGCAGGTAAATGAGGCGACGAGTGTCCCGGATGTGCTGGAATATTTGCCAGTGCAGAGTGACGTGTGACCATGGTTCAGTAATCGTGACCGCCAGCCCGGGGTGGAGAAGGGGGGGGGGGGAGTCTTTAACCTGCATTACGCAGTAGTGATCACACGAACACACTGTTTTACGAGACTCATCCAGTTTGAAACGTCCAGGGGCGGGCAGGAGGTTGAGGCTCAGAAAAACCTTGAAGCGACCTGGCAAACTACCTCGCCACCCCTTGCACGCTGGTAGCAATCTGATCGAACGCCGCCCGGGTGACGCTGGCATATAGTAAGTTAAGTTTTAATTGTCCTGGAGGTTTATTCTCTGGGACGGAGGAATCGTCTCGCAAAAAGCCGACACAACTCGAGGTTGAGGAGCGTTCTACCATACAAGTGGCGACGGAAGAGGAAAAACGGGGGGTAAGAGGGTAGCGGGGAGGGGGGGGGGGGGACTTCAGTTCCTTTCCCCTCCTCTTTCCAGATATTTCGGACTGTTAAAGAAAACAATACGGGAAAAGAGGGCGTGGTCGAGCTTATTTTAATCTGAAATTATTTATGCATATGTATAGCTACTGTCGCTCTTCACTGCATAAAAGATTGCGTAGATGGTCATTGTTAGAAACTCGTTGTCAGAAGGCACTACTCGTCACATGCTTAGTGGTTCGGAAGTTCAAAGCTGTCTTTTCGACCTAAATACCTGTGCCAATAGTAAAAAAAAAAGAAAAAGAATAAATGCGGGGATAAGAAGTTGGAGAAAAAAAAACTATCAAGAATTCGCCGGAAGTGTTGTATTCTTGCGTATTCAGAGGTTCAGAACTTCGAAACAAGTTTCTTTTACCAAAATGTGTACAGGCTAAAAGTAGAAACACGTCCCAGGATCGTGAAGCGAAAAAAAAAAAAAAAGTTTTCTTTCAATGACGTGCTGAACTTGAACACTATTAGAAATCTTCTCCCATGAGTTAATTTATTCCTTAACGTGAAAAAACAATAAATACATTATTTTGTATTCTGCAGATGGCAATGATACGTACTGTCTGTGATGTTAATTTAAATGCGATACCTCAAACAACTTAGACAAAAATAAATATCAGGTTTAGGGCATAATTGCATGTAGATACATGTTTGGACATTCCTTCGAAACTCACGTTGAATAACAATAATCACATCTGAAGACGGCACCTGCCTAGGCTATACATAGATCATTCTTTAAAAAAAATATAACATCTCTACCACAAATAGCTTCGGCTACAGCGCGCTTCAAATCTGGCACAAACGATAATCATCAAAAACCCGTCGTCCTTCCTCGCCCCTTCGGAAATTTATTTCGTTAAAACTAAGCATGCCAGAACATTGAACCAAACGCCATTGTCTTTCGTAAGGAACGCAGCACCGCGTGTAAAAGTTCGAGAAAAAAAAAAACAACGGATGTACCTCACTACTTGAATTCAAATGAAACCGTTCGCTAGTCTTTCGAAGTTCGACGAACGTCGAACTTTTACCCTAAAAGTTCGAAGTTCGTCGAAATTCTGACTTTTCAAAATTCGAAAGTTCGAAAATTTTCGAATTTTCTTGATAAATAAGTTCGAAAGTTCGAAATTCATCGAATTTTTTGGTCAGTCAAGTTCGGAAGTTCGACAAGCATCGAACTTTGCAGCGCAATAAATTCGAAAGTTCGAAAAAGATCGAATTTTTTAGCATAATAAGTTCGACGGTTCGAAAAGCGTCGAACTTCTTAGCTCAAGAAGTTCGAAAATTTGACTTTTGTCGAATTTTACGATGTAGACAATTCGAAAAATCGAAATCTTTCGAACCTTTCGAACCGCTTGATTCGATCATCGAAACTTCGATTCGAAAAAAGTTCGCGGCATCCCTAATCATGCCACGGAGGCCAAGCGCAAGCGTGAGGCCGGGAGACGACTGCACTCCACACCGGCTGAAAAGTTCCCGGGCGCAATGGCAATGTTCCGGAGGGGGTTCGTGGATTACCCGCTTGGCGTCACGAGCGCCGTGTGCGACCGACTCTGGTTCGCCGGAGATGTATCCACGATCGGCGCCGTGTCGGACGAGTTGAAGCTGGAAACGGGCGCGTGCGCGTTGAGGCAGTGTATCAAGTACAGCTCCGCAGGTCTTCCTTCTTCACGAGAGGCTAAACGTTTCTTTATGTGGTCTTCGATACGTACATTAGCTATTTTAATAAGAGGTACAACACGGCTATCAAGCCCCTCGTAAAATTTGGGGCCGTCTGTTCGACTGTAGGGCGCCGTGCGTCGAACTGAAGTTTTGGGGCGTATTATATCGGACGAGGCACGTAGCCAGGGGGGGGGGGGGGGGGGGCACCCATGACAAACTGCTGTATGAGGGGGAGGGGGGAGAGGAGGTCCCAGCAAAATGGAAGATTTCGGGGGGGGGGTAGGCCCCGCCCCCCTCCCCCCCCGAAATCTTCCATTTTATTGGGACCTCCTCTCCCTCCCCCCCCCCCTCATGCAGCAGTTTGTCAAGCAGTTGAGCTTTCAAGCATTTGAGCTTTTTGGCTCTTAAAATATACGTAACCCTGTAGCCAAATATTAATTGGTAGTCTCCTGACACCACAACTAATCGCGTGGCAAAAAATAAAATTAAAAAAAAAAACTTTTGGTGGGTATTAGTGTTCCTCTAAGGCTGTCAGTCGCTATCGACGCTTTGCAGCAGCTGTCGTTCAACGCCGCCATAACCGACCTTCAATTTTTGTTTCTTCTTATTTCGATAACTTCTTTCCCTCATTACCCCAGCAGGACAGGTTAATTATTGCTATCTTAGATTCGGTTGTGTCCTTCTCTCCAGCATTGGCCTTTGTGGAGGCTCGTCAAAGCCCACTTCAGTGGCTTGGTATCTCGGTAAGACAAGAGAAGGTCAGCAATGGCGGCTGTAATCTGGCGCGGGTGCAAGGTGCCTATAAAGACGTGCATTTGGTCGATCGTGAAGGTCGTTAGAAGCGACGCTATTGCTTGTCGCCAGTGAAGCAGAGACAACAGGGGCTCACCAGAGACTTTTGCGCATCACCTCCTCTTCTTGCGAAGACATCTGAACGGGCAGCAGGGCCCTCACCTTGCCCAGGTGGCTGAGCACGCTGATGATGTCTGACTTGCTCATGTGGCTGATGACGTACGTGTTCTCTAGGGCGTTCATCAGCTCCGACACCGAGCTGTAGATGCGCAGCAGCAGGCGGAACATCTGCCGGATCACCTCCCGGTTCTCAAACTCGGACTGCTCTGCCCACTTCACCACAATGTGGACCACCTTCTTCGTGAAGATCTCTGCACAAACCGGTTCGGGCGTGAAACGTGGGTCGGGAATCTTCGGCCCACGAACAAGATCTGACCTCTATAAGGTGGTTCGGCCTGCCCGCCGCGTTCTTCGATCGCTTAACCGGCTATACACATGCACACACAAGACACTAAGGGAGTGAAGCTGGCAGAACAACGCGAAGAGAGAACTTCAGGTAAACCTGAGAACGGCGTGCCGACGTTTACCCAAGATACCTAAAAGAAGCTAGGTCTCCCACTGAAACGCCGGCACGCCGTTCTGAGGTTTACCAGAAGCTGCCTCTTCACGTTCGTATGAAAGCCGTTGGACAAAACGTGCGCGGGTTTGGAAAGATAGGCGAACCGTAACTCTAGGACCATATAACGAGTCTTCAGCCATCATGGTGCTTAAAAGCATTGTTGCCAGGTATTTTGAAATCGGAGGAAACCCTTTACCGTCCTCAATAAATTTCCAAACATTCCGTCCCAAAGAAAGCAATATTCGCTGAGCTTCCTGACACCAAATTTAAAGCTGAAAAGTCAGATTTCTGAATCGCGGCGACCCAAATTGCGCGCACACTGCACTAAGCAAGAAGATGGCGGTGCCCTCAGGAAAGTCTGAGAATTAAGTGCCACAACTCTAAGCGGAAGGCCTTTCCTCCTCTCCCGTGATCACTATTCGATATGGGTAGTGGCGCCTATAGCTTGCATTTGGGCTGCTGCCAAAGCACAGGGCTAGCAGGCGGCCCAGATGCCCGAGTCTGCGTGGAGTACTCTCGTTGAGGCGTGTTTGCCACTCTGCCAAGATCCCCTAACCATCACGTAATGCGCATGCCATGTCTTCTCCGTTTCACGTCCGACCGTAACCATGGGCCCTATGCAGCAGCCAAAAGTCTAGCGTCGTGGCGCGTCTTAGTGTCTTTCCTATCACCGGCTAAAAGTGTTCAGCAATTTTCCTGGTCCTCCTATATTGTCCCTCTAATGGAAATAGATCAGAATTTCTCCTACTCATAAGTTATCTTTTCAGTATTCAAGCTCTCTTCGACTTAGAGTGATCCGAGTTCATGACACAAACATCGATCTACTCGTTGAAAATACGGAACAAATAGAATGTTCAATGCTCCTGCAGTCTTTTGGGAGTTATAACGTAATTTACACCCCCCACTCGTGTCACGCCCACTTCATTTACACAACTTGATTCATGCTTAACAAATTTTCACTCTGACGACATACTCCCAGGTACCATCACCGCCGGGATAAGTGACCATATGCCAATATTTTCCATTTTAACTAAAATAAATAAACGTAATGATCAAACGGTTTCCAATACTTGTGAACATATATCGAAACAAGCGCTAAATACATTTTATGATTCATTAGTGGTACAAAACTGGAACGATATCCTGTCTGAAAGTAACCCGAACATATTTTTTGAAACCATACTTATCTGCTACCAGACATCGTTTCCACTGCAATCGAAGAAAAGTAATAATAGGATTAGGTAACCTTGGATCACAAAATAACTTTTCCACGGGATAAAGAAAACAAACAAACAAGATATACGCTCGATTCATGAAGACTCGAGTTATGACTCTTTTTTCGGAATTCAAAATATATAGAAACCAATTAAACTACGACATTCAAAGATCAAAGCGGAATTCCTTTCAACGCACTCTTAGGAATGTACAGGATGACCTAAAGTAGATATAGGAAACTGTAAACACAGTTGTTACTAAAGCCTCGCCATAACTGCCTGGCAGACCTAACAATAGACGAGAGAAACCCTATCTGGGATTCAGCTGGCGACAAAAATCAATGCACATTTCTTATCGGCAGGAGAAGCCGCATCAGGAAATCAATCTGATAGCCCAGAAACATATCTTAAAAACAGTAACCCCAATTCAATTGTTTACTTTCCTCTATATTAACAAGATTTAATAACAAATCTGATTTGTTTAAAAGAACAAATAAGCCTGTGTTGCTGATAGCCTGACAACAATACCTATTAAATTTGTATCACCTCTTATATTGCTCCTTCTTACTCATATATGCAATAGTGTACTTGAAAGTGGTACTTTTATTGATCAAATAAAATGGCAAAGGCTTCAACAATAAGTAAGGGTGGCCCTTATTTTCACCATAGTTGAAAACATAATTAACCGAAGGCTTGAAAATTGTTTCGGCACGTTTAATATTATAAAACAATAATATAGATTCAAGAAAGGGAAAACAACCGAACTCGCTCATTTGAATATTAGTGACAACGTAATATAAAATATTGAAAATCGGCTCTTCACAATGGGCTTTTTTTATCGATTTTCGCAAAGCCTTTGATTCCATCAAGCGCGACATACTCGGATACTCCTTAAAAACTTGAAACATATGGCATACGAGGCATATCACATGAACTCATAGTCAACTATTTCACATCCCGTAAACAATAGGCGGTATACAATGGCACAAAATCACCTTTAGGATTAATAAAATAGGGGGTTGCTCAGGGCTCCACATTGGGACCATTAATGTTTTTTATCTGTATTAATGGTATACATAGCATACCATATATTGAAGACTTCATATTATACGCTGAAGACATTAATGTAATTTTTTATGAAATAGATCGTTGCGAGTTGGAGAAAAAAAAATAAAGTAAATAATTACGCCACCTCTCCGGCTGGCTAGCGGCAAATGAATTATTTTTAAATACCAAACAAAAGTGCAGTCTTTTCATGGGTAAACCAAGCAAATAATAATATTGTTAAACTGAGATTTGAACGCATCAGAATTGAAAGGGTGAATAACCACACATTTATTGGAGTTTAGTTTAACGATAACTTAAATTGGACATACCATGTAAATTTTGTAAGAAAATAAATTTCAAAATCAATAGGCTTACTTTCACCCGTTAAGCATATATCAGCAGAATGACTAAAGGCCAACTATATTACGCTTTAATATGTTCAAAACTGTATTACAGCTTGCTTGCCCGGCGTAACACAACGAAAACAAATATTTCCAACTTTTATTTAGTACCAAACCACAAATGCTATACGTACAACGCAAAATTCTGACTATGACGCGCATACCTGCCCCCTTTTCGAACGGCATAAAATATTAAATGGTTACCAACTGTAAACAGATTCACCTGCAATCTACATTTTTCAGGACACGAGACTCGTTCTGCCAAGGTATCCTTCCTTATGCATTCGACCAGAACATCGCTATAGCGCACTACATAATAAAAACATACTTCCATAATTATGAAAAACATAGCCTCGCAGAAACTGACGTATCACATTTCGAACTATCTAAAGACGTGTAAACACCTTCAGAAACCTTATCGCATCTTGTACTTTGATAAACAAATTTAATTGCATACTGCAAAAAAACCTTGATAGGAATAAAGACCTCTAGAGTAAATAAAATTGAAATGTGAAGTGACTGTAGAGTCTAGACCATGGCATGCTGACGAACAATAAATGCTTTATTCCTGGGGCCCTAAACTCGTCAGACACAAAGTTGCAGCCGAAAGTTGGCGGAGCGCGCCGATTGGACGTCGACGAGAAAAACGCCAAGTCATCGTCGTGATTGTCCACTCGGCGCGCTCCGTCAACTTCGGCTCCAACTTTGTGTTGACGAGTTTAGGGCCCCAGAGCGCAGCGTTTTTATCACAGATATGACGTCACGAGCCGGGCGGCGCTTCCGCGATGACTCACCCGCGATAACTCAATCAGCACGCTACAACAAAATGAAAGTGACTGTTTGGCATGAACTGTTCGTAGAGGACTCGCTATTCGCAAATTTTAAATCCTTTTTTTATTTGTTGTTGCGATACTATTGTTAGTGTAGAAATAGGTTACTTTATTGGAGCGCTTTTGATATTTTGTTCCTTTGTGAATCGTAAAACTCACTAGTATAAAGCAGTATCAAGGCTTCAGGAACCGAATAAAAAAAAGTGCCATAATTCGGCGGGATTTGTTTAGACGGCGACGCACAAAGACGAGCGCCTTGACGATCCCCTTTTGGTCCTGCTCGATTGTCTCGGTCGGATCGTAGCGTTGGCTGCTGCGAGACTTAATGCGAAACGAAAGATTGATGTCCGTGCACACCTTCGGGCAGAGTGACGCGTTCCTCTCCGCCTCCGGACTCCTCCTCGGAGGCCCTGACGAGGCTGACGAGGTGCATGAGGCGCTGGCGCAGGGACCGGTCCCCGTCGGCCTCCTTCTCGGGCGCCTCCTCCTCGGCGGCCGTGGCCACCTTGAGCCTGCTCAGCTGGTCCGCGTGCATGCTGCTCAGCACCTCTCGCAGGCCCTCCCCACACGGGCACTGGTCCCAGTTCTCCTCCTCCAGGTGCTTGAACCCCAGGATGGCTCGCATCTGCCACGGAAGCCACCGGCATGCAGGCATCACAATACCGCCCCGGACGGGTATCCCGACGACACGGTTAAGCAAATTTCAAATCCAAACAAAAAACAAAATAATTCAAGGGGCAAATGCTAGAAGACACCTAGGTAACGAAATGCATTTTACTCGACTATAGCAAGCCCAGGAGTGAGAGGCGTCTTCAGCGCTTTGTGTTCTTCGGCGTTCTTTTAGGCCCACTTTTTGCCCGCGAATGCAACCGATGAGATTTCGGGAGTGCGGAATTATTAAGATTCTCTACCCGTTTCTCACGCTGTTAATGGCCATACGACGAACGAGTCAGCCAAAACACGTCCCTTTGCGCAGGAACGCTCTGGGCAGTGAAGGGTCTCCTCACGTCAAAGACGGAGAGAAAAAGCTGATATCAGAGGTCAATGTGCCAAATTCATCCAAACCAACAGACACCATTCTTTTTGTTGGGTATGATATGACATGATACAATGTTTATTTCGGCTCGGGATAGCGTCGCCGACAGCGCTACGCATGCGCGATTGCAATCAATCTGCGCAGAAGGCGTCCGCCATTAAATTGCAAACGCTCTCGACGGTTTAAATTGGTCTCTCTCTCTCTCTCTCAAATGCAGGTTGTTTAAGTAACAAAAATTGAGTGCCCTTCCACTCCATGAAGAGGGAAGTCCAGCGAAGCTGGCGCTCTGGTGGGATTTGCTATGTCGGGCTGGGAGCAGCGGCAACGGCGGTTTCACGTTGGCGGCGTGCCCATTCTCGCTTCTGGGCGCACCGACGCTCCCCGTACTCCCAGTGCTCCTCTTCAGAACTTACAACACGGGTGCGACTTATGGAAAGTCTGCAGTCCAAATGATAAGGGCCGTGGCGCGATCTTCGGCAGGTGGCCGCCCAAGAGCGCGCGGCATTGCGCAATGTCAGGGGGAGAGAGAGGCCGCGCGTGGAGAAGGCGCGCACGTGCGGCGCCGGCGTCTGCAGCATTAACTGTTCTAAAGCAGAAACCTAAAATAAATGGCATCTTTCACGCGCGTTCCTCAACGGTTTATTTCGGTTTTTGAATTTCTATCTTTTACACGGGGAAGGTGCGCACATGCAGCGCCGGCGTCTGCAGCATTAAGTGTTCTAAAGCAGAAACCTAAAACAAATGGCATCTTTCACGCGCGTTCCCCAACGCTTTATTTCGGTTTTTGAATTTCTATCTTTTACACGGGGAAGGTGCGCACATGCAGCGCCGGCGTCTGCAGCATTAAGTGTTCTAAAGCAGAAACCTAAAACAAATGGCATCTTTCACGCGCGTTCCCCAACGCTTTATTTCGGTTTTTGAATTTCTATCTTTTACACGGGGAAGGTGCGCACATGCGGCGCCGGCGTCTGCAGCATTAAGTGTACAAAATTGTTAATGTACGCTCGGTCTGACCCCCGAGACGATCTGCCAGAACCTAGCCACAGACAGCTTCGCTGTAAAAATACTCTAGATCATGCGCTTCTCTTGTAGTCCGTCTGGGTCAGTGCAAGAGCGTTGGTCAGCGCAAGAGCGAGCCATTCGCGAAGCGAGCGAGGGCAGTGTTCGTAGAAAGTTCTCCATCTAACGCGAGCGGAGAACGCGGTTCGCTACTACGAAGCGCCATTCGCAGGCAGAGAGAAAGCAACGATACACTCTACGTTGTCTACTAATTGACTGAAAGGAATTCGTAATCTGCTACGAATCGAACGCCATGACAAAGGGACTAAAATTGTGACTGCCCACTATTTTACGTTGGAAGTCATTGACAAGTTGCGCATTTTTTGCGAATATGAAGTACTTCTGGCTGCAGAACACAACTTCACATCAGTCAGTGGATGAAGTGGTACAAAAGGCAAGCACATCAGGGGTCTTGATACCTCTCTCGCTATTCGTATGTTGGTGTCACGTTCTCACCAAAATATTGCTCGATTGTAAACTAGCGACCAGGTGAAAAATCTCTCGTTGTTTGATTACAGGCAAGCTGTGGCGCCGCGTCCAATCGGGAGTTGATTGCGCACTCACACTCTTCTCGACGAAATCGAACCCCTGGCAGCTATTTTTGGGCCTGAGTGTGCGGGTGGACGATCTCGCTCCAAACAAAAAATGAATGCGGCACAATAAATATCGCGCTAAATGTTGATTTCTTCTTCTACGAAGTATATTTGGTTATATGTATTTTCTATCCAGACAGTTTCTTGGGAGCGCAATGTCACTTTAAGAAGTCCACCTCAGTAGCCATGTATAGTCGGTGACAGGTTAAAAGATCGAGTGAACCTCTCCCGATTTTTTTTCCACTTTAGCAGAAAACCGAACGCTGGAGTGGAGCCGATTCCCTCTCTTCAGCCCTGGCTCTGCTAATTTGGAAAAGGGTGAACAGCGCATCCCCTAAACTCTTAACTTGTCAACGACCATGTGCATCGGCTTGATTGTTACAGTACTCCTGGGGCAAATTGACCATCTTTTTATAGGAACCTCGCGACACCCTTTGACATTGTTCCTCGGGATGCCATATCAACGCAGGTGTGAAACTCTGCTCTTTCTTCTGTCTGCCAGCGAACGGGCACAAATTCTTCGGCAAACTTCTGGGAGGTTTATATTATATATAGTCTAGAGTAGCACAAACGGCACCGCAGAGATTTCAAACGACAAAAGAAAAGATCAGTTTTTTGTTTTGTTTTATGCATACCTGTTCCTTGGGTGAGCAGCGAAATTCCCTGGTTTTCTTGGCAGCGACAGACGATGGAAGGTCAGACTGCTTGATTTCAATGTACCGGCGTAGTTGATCCTGCAATTAAAAAAATCACGAGCACTTGTACGCTTTAGTGAGGTGTTACTTTGCCAGAAATTAGAGCGGCAGACGAACCTGGAACTAAATATAGATGTTTATTAAGGCAAACTTGCGCTTATAAGTAAAACAAAAAAGTCTTTCGTATCCTACGGCAGCGACAAAGGGGCGGTTGTAAGGAAGTAGCATCTTGCCGCTCCGTTGATACGCGCTTTGTGAACTAAAAAAATAATAATCACAGTTAAGAATGGGTTGGAACTTTACAGAAGACACCCAGACTGATAAACAAAAACGGGACTGAGAGGCGTTTAAACCCTGTTTGTTTCCGTGGCAGAATATTAAAATATATCGACCTGTCTTGTCGCTCCGAAATAAAACTATTAGCCTTTTTGAACTGGATGTTTCATCTCAAACATTAAATGCATACGAACACTGCCGGGGGGGGGGGGGGGGGGGGGGGGGAGGCGTATGTTGTGTCTCGGTGGCACGAACATTTTGTAAAGCATAAAGCAGATTTTCGACAAATGTTTAATAACCACCTAGATTTTTTGAGTGACCAGATGCCGTTCAGCGAGCTGATTAATTTTTTTTTTATTTCTGGACATGCGGCACATGGGTATGCGAGGAAAATCTGAAACACTCGGGTTTTCTCAAACAGGAACGAGTGGGCAGACATGGATACGCATAGGCCACAATAACCTGCACTTACGCTTGCAGGAGACCACGTCCGACAATTTACATTTTGTCAAAGTTTTCCAAATCAAACTTTCATGGATTTACTCCCATGAATTGGCCTAAGATGTTTTCTCATAACAGATGTCAAGACTCTATGTACCTAGATTTAAAATACAAGTTTTTTTGGCGACACATATTTGAAGAAACTGGAGACGGCGGGAAAAGGGGACAAACACAAAACATCTAAAACGCAGCTCAGCTCAGCTGCGTTGAGACGATTTGTGTTTGTCCCCTTCTTCGTCCATCGTCTCCGGTTTCTTTAAAAATATGTGTCACATCAACCAGGTCACCTGTTTATTTACTCTTTATTCTTTTTGTTGAATAAATAAACATATAAATAACAGTAATATATCTGCAACAGCAGATATATTACTGTCTGCAACCCCTCCAATTAGGTTAGTGTTTAGCTTTGAGGTATCGCTGCGTTCATTCCCTATTGGAAAAACGTACAAGAAACAAACCTGCCGCTTTTACAATTCTGGTATGACACCACCATAATTTCTTGGTATTATGTATGCAGCTAGTTTGGTTTGGCGTTCTGCATAACTGGAGATACCGGCACCGCTATGGCTCCGGGTCTGTCTATACTGGCAGCCAGTTTGCTTGCCGATATGATTCCGTGTCGCTGGTATGATTTTGCGTCCGATGACGTAGGCGACCGCCTTCTTTCCAACAAAAACGCTTACACCACATGACCACCGGTATAACTAAATCATACATGCAGAAAGACGACCGCCATCTTCCACCAAAAACGTCCATCGTTCACCACCGGTATCGTACATACACCATGTATGTCGAAAAAGAACATAAGCCGCGTTTACATGAATGCGACTTAGTCGCATTGAATCCAGTTGCCGCATTCAATATATGATCATGTAAACGGCATAATGCGCAAAGCGCATCGCATTTTGGAACGGGAAGGATAATCGCAAGGCACTCGCTGCAGGAGCGAGTGAACAGCTGAGAACATGGCAGCGGCCAACCTCGTCAGCGGCGCGGAGAGCGGTCCCGCAATTTTTTTTCCCGAGAACAAACGCAAGCTTTTGTTGCGATCATAAGTCAGCGGAATATAGCGGAGCTGCTCGGTGAGGGCGGCCCCGTCCAAACCTTTGCGAAGTACGACTTGCGCGTCCGAAGGGGTCACAATGGCTTCAGTGCAAGCACGAATGACACCGAGAGCTCCGAGCACTGTAGAGCACTGCATGGTAGCGCAGAACGAGCAGCTCCTACTTCGGTGCCGTTCCTGGCTGCGCAAGAGCCTCTCGGACTCGGGGTCCGGTTGGTCCTGTCGCGATCGGCGAGGTCTGGCGCGGCGAAACGCGGAGGCTTCCTCAAAGCGTGCGCACACACGTCGCCTCTCGTTCAGAGTGAACCGGCGGCCCGGCCTGGAGTCCTAAACGCCTTGGTTTTGATGCTTCTTCCGTCTCGCAACTTCTTCCACAGCACCGAAGACAGCGGACACGATCTTTACTTTCACTGAATGCGTCGTAAGGACTCCACGTGCGATGCACCGGAAAACGTGGTGCGGCTGGTGCCGGAACGGAACTGCGAAACTTCGAGCTTTGAGTTAACGTGCACGGCAAGAAACCGATCGTAACACCAAGCCGCGGATACCGCATCGCCGGTCGACAGCGGCAAACGGCCCGTTGCTCGTACTCGGCAAACTCGGCGTCTTTTCGTGGCCCCTCGCGTCCTCGCAACCAGCCACAAACTCACCGGCCCGCAACCGTAGCGAGCGTAGCCGGCGTTGGAGAAAACCGAAACCGAAACTTAAGGCTTCCGCCCAGTGGCTTCGGTGCTTCCGCTGCCGCGGCTATTCTAAGTTCGCGGCTTCCACTTCCGGTCGTCGCGGAGATGGCGAACAATGGCGAAGATAGCGCGATGTGGTTCGTTGGCTCGTTTACGGTTACGGGACAGATGTTTTGCGGTCCGTTTCTACTGCGTCTCTGGTTCTAAACTCGACGGCGCCTCTCATAGTTCAACCAGGTGTGGTCGGCCTGGGTCAGCGCGGTCGGCTCGCCTCGTCCGATCTCCGGACCGCCGGCGACTTCCGAGTTCTTTAGGCCTGGGATCCGAAGGCGTCTGTCTCCGTGAAACGGTAAGCGAATCTCGTCCCGTTTTCGTTCTACTTTTAAATTACGTTTGGTGCGCTACTGTGTAAGCATGCGTGCCAAGTGTTCGTGACAATTTTGAACTAGAATAATTGTGCTTCATTGCGGTTTGTCATTTACCGCAAATGTAAATCGAGCAATGAACGAGGAGTAAATCGAGCAATGAACGAGGAGCCATGCTTGGAAACGATGTATGTACGATGTTAACTTCTACCTGTGCGGCTTTAAAGAAAGTCAAGACTGGTTACGGTTGGATGCGAGGCTGGTCCCAATGCAATGTTAAGCACTTAGAGCGCCTTTCTGAACGGCATGTAAGCAATATAGCGATCAACGAGACGAGCGACGGCGAGAAGCTACGAGTGCCGGCGCCGAGCGACGAAGATTTCTCACTCCCGCTGCTTGCGCCGCTCGGTTCTTGGACTTCTAGAAAACGTCGCTCATCGCCTTGGTCGCTCGCACCAATCGCTTTCATAATGTGTGTGTCGTCGCGCGGCCGTGTTTATTCAAATATAAGTCGACCTTTTTTTTTTCTTTTTTTTTCGGAAATTGTGACTAAAGAATTTCGACACCTGTATTCGCGACCAAATTTTGCGACCCTACCGGAGGCATGAAGCTATCGAGTCACCGAGCCGGCGTTGCCGTAGAGCCGCGCCGCTTCTTGTTTCAAAAAGCTTTTGGTAACCGAAATGGCTCGCCGCCCGCGGTGGCCCGTGCCGCTCCTCGGGCGTCGGATTTCGACATCGCGCCTCTAGCGTTCCCCTTGCTGGGCAACGGGGAAGGAGAGGAACGCGATGCGCCACGCACTTTACCCTCCATCCTTGCAAACGCGCACACAAAAAAAAAAAAGAAAAAAAAGGTTACTTTTGTTAGTTGCTTGAGGCGGCTCGGCTCGCGTGTTGCTCATGGCGACACGGCGGCTTTGCTTGCGTCTTTGTAGTTTGTCTTCCGTCGCTTCGCACCTTCTTTCGTTTCCTGTCGTCATTTTACAACGGTGTCAGTGAAGTATTGCTGCGAATACGCGAGGATGTCTACCCAGCTGAAGAAGCTTCGGACGACGATGACATGTCCAGAAGTTCTGACGGTGATGAAGTTCTTGGCATCGCCCCGTGATTTAGCTGAGAGTGATGTAAATAAAGGTTTGTTTCTTTCTTTTGCCCAAAATTTCCCCTGTTCTTAAAAATAAAAAAAAGTCGACCTATATTTGAATTACTTTTTTTTTATTCTCTATGGACCCAGTAAATAGGGTTCGACCTATTTTCGAGTAAATACGGTAACTTTAATTTTTATTTTGGTTTACGTCGGACGCAACTCGAATGCTTGACAGTTACGTTGGGCGTAACTTTAATTTTTATTTCGGGTTCCGTCGGACGTAACGTTAGACACTCCGTTACACTTAAGGAAAATAGGGGCTGCTGGTTCATCATATAAACCAACCATTTGTGTTTAATTAAAATGCATCACTGACCTCAAAAAAAAAAAAAAGATACTGCTATCCTAGAGTTTATGCTATAGGAATGTAGCGCTTCAGATAAATTTGTTAATTTTTACTTTTAGTCCCTGCCCCCTCCAGATACAACATCTGGCCTAAAGCAGTGTTCCGGATCTCCTTCCGAGACCTCAGGCGGGTCGTCATTCAAACCAGGAGTCGGCGGCGTCTCATGGGCGTGTTGCTGGTGCTTACTGGATGGTGCTACCGAGGGAAAAGTGGTCGTGCTTGGGCAAGGTAAGTATGGCCGCCGTAATTATAGATATTGTTTTTACCTTTGCTCGAATCCACTTTTAAGAAATGCACAGTTCGCATGTGTGCATCTCTCAATGTTTCCACAGTCGGCTGTTTTTTTGTTGAGTGCTCCAACTCTGCTAGTGCTAGTTTCTCTAGATCATGCAAATGGGATGCAACACTAAACCACATATGCTCTCGCAACAAACAGTGCTGTGCAGAAGCACAGTGGAATTTACTCTAGCTTTATAATGCAGCACAAAATAGTTGACTCCAAGTATAGCTACTTTTGTGACTCCGTTTAACCAAAAGCTCTGCCGAAACAAACTTGCCGCCTTATAGGTAGTGCAAAAGAACCTCGCGTGCCTAACCTGGAGAAGGGCATTTTTTTTATAGGTAAATTTTTTCTTAAACCAATACCTTCAGCCTCCTTG